AACTGAGAAACACTGGCTTGCAAGCACTCCAATTGGAGAGCAGCCTTTACCAAAGGTGTCATGGGCTTTGAAGACACTCAAACTCAGGATGAAAAGGAGAAACGTGTTAAGAGGAAGGCATGCTTGGGTGATCAACTCTTGCCCAGAAACCTGTGGAAGGACATGTGGATCCAGAATTGGCCTCCACAGTCACTTATGGACTCACTGTTAAAACCTTGTTTATGGAAGACAATCTTACTCGGCTACGAATGATCGCCAAAGAGATGAAGTAATTGAAAACTAATAAAATTATTGACATATCTATGATGTCTTGATGATGCTTCTGAAAACGTATTATGGGAAACTTTATGGGAAACTTTGGGAAGTTTTAAAATACTGGTGTGACCATTGTTCAGGGCTTCATCTCTGTGGCAGTGGGAAGTCTTGTTGCAACAATAATGATCAGGCCTACTGACCACTGTTTTGCTTCTATCTCCTGGCTGAAGTCTCTCCCTTGTGACCCCCTGACCTGAACCTATGGGATCCAATTGCGGGATGCTCAATAATCAGATTTTTAAAGAAAAAATTTAATCGGATTTTTTAAAATTTAAATTGGCTTTTAAAATTAAAATGCTTTGGAGGAAAAACCTTTCTAAAGATAGTTTTCTATTTAAGTTACATTATGGTCCAAAGGCTATTCATCAGGAAATAAGGCTTTGTTTTAAGTTTTTCATGTGCGCTAAAACTCAGTCTGAGGTGTTTTTTATTTAAAGAAAAAAAACGTTTAACCACATGAGTTAACAAACATGGATACATATGCTATAATGTTATTGCTTTAGTTAAATAAATCATTTAAATTGTTATTAAGGAAATGATTATTTTTCTCCTTCCGATAAAGTGCAGCAGAAAAGCTGCCCAAATATAAGCAGTTAACTTATGAAACCTCACAATAATTTCATAATTACCTGTCTATGTATTTCTAACTAGTAAAGTGGTACCTCGGGTTAAGTACTTAATTTGTTCCGGAGGTCCGTTCTTAACCTGAAACTGTTCTTAACCTGAAGCACCACTTTAGCTAATGGGGCCTCCCTCTTGCTGCCGCCGTGCCGCCGGAGCACGATTTCTGTTCTCATCCTGAAGCAAAGTTCTTAACCTGAAGCACTATTTCTGGGTTAGCAGAGTGTGTAACCTGAAGCATCTGTAACCTGAAGCGTATGTAACCCGAGGTACCACTGTATAACCAAATCAGTAATTTTTGATGTGACTGTAAAAACGACTCTGGACATTTATCATTCCAAAAATGAAAACCTTCCTCTGGTTGTTGCAAAGATTAAGATTATACCAGCAGGAATGCGACTTTCTGTTAAATCAAGTCTTACCGACTAGTGATTTAAATCGTGATTTCAAATCGTGATTTAAATGGGTTTGATTTCAATCGAATCCACCCCTGGTTCCCACCGCCCGGGCCCCTCGCCCCGAGAAGCGGGGAGGCGCTACCTTGAAGTAGGCGAACTGCAGGAACTTGTAGGGCTCCAGCTGCTGGAACTCGGCCAGCACCTCCCGGCTGGGCTGCGACTGGCGGAAGGCCGGCAGGCCCTGCTTGCAGCGCTTGAGGCACTGCGCGCGGCGCAGCAGGTCGCCGAAGAAGCGCAGCTCCGCGAAGCCCTCGAAGCGCCCGGGCTCGCCGCCTCCGCCGCCGGCGGCCTCATAGTCCCGGGCTCGGGCCGAGCTGCAGTTGACGTGGCAGAAGGCCTCGCTGTCCCTCAGCAAGCGGTGCAGCCTCAGGCTGACCTCGAGGTAGCTGACGCTCTCGGGCCACTTCTCGGCGCCGTACTGGTCCAGGCCGTAGCGGTAGGCGGACTCCAAGGGCATCAGCTCGTCGCGGGGGAAGCTGCGGAAGCTGTAGCGCTCGAATTGCGCCCGGCAGCCCGGAGCGCGCAGGCAAAGGAGCAGCAGCAGCAGCAGCGCCGGCGCCGCCAGAAGCAGAAGCGGCGGCCGCCGCGCGCAAACGAGGCGCCACATCTCCCTCCTTGAAGCTGGCGGGGAAGGCGCCGGACACACCACGTCGCAAGAAGAAGGGGGGAAATTGGCGAAGAGGAGGAGGAGGAGGAGATGGCGACGCCTCTCTCCCACCGATTCGGAGGGACCAGGCGGGGAGACGGGAGGTCTCCTCCTCCTGCCCGGCTGAGGGGCGGCGACGAGGGGCGAAGGGAAGCCGCTTCCTCAGGGAAGGGCTGAAGGGGGTACCAATTATTCCTACCCATGGATTAAAAATATATTTGGTTTTTCACTTTAAAGTTTCACAATCACATATCCAACCAACACACAGCATTAAAAGCAAGATTCCAAACAATCTCCTGGACTTCCCTCCTCCCCTTCGTGGGTCTCGTTGCACATCATTTCCTCCTGCGTCTTTTATAACACTCCGAATCTTTTACATCTCCGTTATATCCAAAATTCACCATTAAACGACAAGGGTTATTCCAATCCTACTAATGGTTTTTGCTGCTTATGATTGTGTTTAAGATAAATGATAAATTCTCCCCCATTCCTTATCATAGCTGTCAACATTTTCCTTTTTTTAAGGGAAAATCCCTTATTCCGAATAGGATTCCTTGCAAGAAAAGGGAAAAGTTGACAGCTATGTTCCTTATTAAATTTTTGGTCTTCCTGATTTCTGATTCTTCCAGTCATTTTTGGCATAATCCATCAAGTTAATCTGCCATTCTTCTCCGGTTGGGACTTTATCTTCTTTCCATCTCTGAGAAGTGCTATTAAAGCGCAGCCACTTCGGGCTGAACTGACGTTCCCAACTCACTCGACATTTTGACTGCGGACATTAATAATGCTTAGGTTTCAGTTTAGTAATGTTTAGCTGTCTAAGAGGCATGTGGCCTGGGAGAGCACCTCTGTGGATTTCTGCAGAAGGCCCTGTGAAGTGTTCATCCTGATGTGCAGGGGGTATGTTTGGTAATCAAGGATTGTTCAGAGTTACTTCCCAATTTGGAAGCCTTTGAATCAAATCAAGAATACACTACAGCTGAGTTTCTAGACTGGTGACCGGGAGTGGCTTCCAGGCATAGCTGTCAACTTTTCCCTTTTCTTGCGAGGAATCCTATTTGGAATAAGAGAATTTCCTGTAAAAAAAGGGAAACGTTGACAGCTATGCTGCCAGGACCATATAAGGACCTACAGGATCTTCATTGCCTCCCAGTGCATTTCCAAGCACAATTCAAAGTGTTGGAGCTGACCTTTAAAGCCCTAAACGGCCACAGCCCAGTATACCTGAAGGAGCATCTCCACCCATTGTTCACTGTTCACCCATTGTTCATTGTTCACTGAGGTCCAGCTCTGAGGGACTTCTGATGGTTCCCTCACTGTGAGAAGTGAGGTTACAGGCAGCCTCCCACCAGACTTTTAGAATATGGTTACCAGATTTCCCCGTTTCCCGGGGACAGTCCTCGGATTTACAAATCTGTCACCGGACAAAATCCGTCCCCGGATTTCATTCAATGTCCCCAGACTTATATTTTAAGTGTTGTAGATTTAGTAGTAGGGAATGAATGTTGTGTAATTGGTTCAACAGCACGAGACACATCATATGAGGACTTCCGGCGAAGCAAAATGGCGGGCACAACGGCAGCAAGCAGCTCCTAAAGCCAGCCAGAGCCAACTGCGCTACCAGGCTGGCTCCGGGCTGCTGAGACTGCCGCTGTTGAGGGGGAACCGGGGATGCCTGGCACGTCAACTGGGGAACCGCTGACACCACCTCGCAACCCAAATCGAGCCAGGAGTGAGAGCACCTGGCCAACCAGCTGACTGCCCAGTGGTGCTCCGGGGCCAGGAAAACCCTGGAGCCAATGCAGGGAGAAGGAGAAGGAAGAGAGAGAAAGAGGAAGGAGAAAAAAGAGGGGAGCCCATACCTTGCTGCGCTGCTGCCACTGCCACTGAGGAGAGGTAGGAGAGCACCAGGAGGGCAAGGACACGTGGCTGAGCCCAGGCCTGGTCTGAGCCTACTCCACGGCACCTAGCGCTCCAAGAGAGCAAGCTGGAACCCAGAGGAAGGCCACACAACAGAGGAGACCACAGAAGAGAAGATATTACTTCTTAATCTTTTTTAAAAATAAAACTTTTTTCTTTTGGTATGTCCCACAGAGAAATTTACGGCCTGCAAATAAAAACATCCTGAAGATCCCAGGCCACAGAGAGGTTAGGCTGGCCTCAACTAGAGCCAGGGCTTTCTCGGCTGCGGCTCCAATCTGGTGGAACGCTCTGTCACAAGAGACTAGGGCCCTGCAGGACCTGACATCTTTCCGCAGGGCCTGCAAGACAGAGCTGTTCCACCAGGCCTTTGATCAGGGCACAGCCTGACCCCCTCCTCTGGCAATCTGCACAGAATGTTGCTTAATGGTTGCCATTAATTTGATTTTAATTAACTTTATAATGAATGTTTTTAGAATGTTGGATTATTTTGATTGTTGTTAGCCGCCCTGAGCCCAGCTTCGGCTGGGGAGGGCGGGATATAAATAAAAATTTATTATTATTATTATTATTTTCAAAAAAAAGTATCCCCAGATTCTTTGAAAAAAACATGGTAACCTTATTTTAGAAGATATCTGAAGGCAGCCCTTTATCAGGAAATTTTCAACGTCTGATGTTTTACAATTTTACACACACACACAAAAAGCAATGCAGGAATTTTATTGCTTTCAGTTGCAGAAGAAAAATGTGTCCGTCCCCCCCCCCCCCCTCATTGCAATGGTATTTTATTGCAAATGCCTTTTGGGTGATTTACGTCCTTCAAGGGCAGCAGCGACCACGAATAGACGTGATGGAAGAAAAATAATGAAGCTGGCAAATGGTTTGAAAACCTGCGTCACCTTTTCCTGAATTCCTTTTCCTCCCTCTCCCCTCCCCACCTCTTCTTTCCTTTTTTCCCCGCATTGCAATTGGCTGGTTGGGGGAAGCCGAGGCGGAAGCTCCAGTCAGCTGACTCCGAAGTCAGGCGGTTGGAGGGCTGTAGCTGGAACGACCTTCCTTTTCACATCATCTGGGTTTTTTTGGGTTGCGGCAATGTTTGCTCTGCTCTTACTGCAGCTTCTGCATGCGGGATTTGGATCGCCTGTAAGTTGATCTTGCTGCTGCTGTATCCCCCTCCCCATTTCCCCGATCGTAGCCTTGGTTATTTCTTGCGCAGGAGAAAGGCACTCTTTTGCATTTCCGCGCTGGGCTCCCCGGAGCAGTGGAGGGTTGTGGGTCTGCTGCGTTATGGTGAGCGCAGTGCAATTCAATTCCACGCACCGCCATCTCTGAATGCAAGTGGGTCTCCTGTACGATGAGGGCTGGGTCGGGGGCGTGAGGAACAGGAGGGAACCGAGCCTTAGCAGATGGATCTGCGAGGACTGCATAGGGTTTTGAGCAGAATTCTGATTGAGGAAGGGCACAGAAAATAGCCAGAGTTGCAAAAGGGTGTGTTTCGCTTCGTCTGCTTTGCTCTGTGTACATGAAAACACCCTTATCTTCGCCTAGCCCAGAGATCCACACAAGCTCCACAATTGCTCCTCCTGTTTTTCCTCTGTTGCTGAACTCCCAGAGTGCTCTATAAAACGAATTTACTCCCCTGTCTCTAGCAAAGGAAGGGAGCGAGCCACGGGTGGACTTTGGAAAGCAGGTGACAGGTTGAAAGACTTCCTGTTGCATTTTATGTGAAATAAATCAATGCTAGCCAGTATCGCACTGTATAAGGGACGGGGTGGCGCTGTGGGTTAAACCACAGAGACTAGGACTTGCCGATCAGAAGGTCGGCGGTTCAAATCCCCGCGACGGGGTGAGCTCCCGTTGCTCGGTCCCTGCTCCTGCCAACCTAGCAGTTCGAAAGCACGTCAAAGTGCAAGTAGATAAATAGGTACCGCTCTGGCGGGAAGGTAAATGGCATTTCCGTGCGCTGCTCTGGTTCGCCAGAAGCGGCTTAGTCATGCTGGCCACGTGACTTGGAAGCTGTACACCGGCTCCCTCGGCCAGTAAAGCGAGATGAGCGCCACAACCCCAGAGTCGGTCACGACTGGACCTAATGGTCAGGGATCCCTTTACCTTTTACCTTATCGCATTGTATGGTAGTCTGGGAGAGAAGTTCTGGGACCCTTGAGCTTCATGTAATCTCAGGACTTACAAGTGTTTGGGTGGTTTTTTTCCTGGCAAATGTCACGTTTTGCAGCAGGACTGATGGATCAGCAAAACCACGCAGGGTTTGTCAATTCCCCATGTGCTTTACTAATCCAGAGGTCTAGCTGGGTAGTCTCAACAGACTGACCAATGCAGTTCCAAACACCTTGTGAGGAAGTGCCCCTTCTTTAAGCTGCTTTCCTCGACAAGCTTCCTATATTGGAACTATGGCTGATTGAGAAACTACCTTTTGGAGTTGCATTCCTTCTTAGTTCTTCACCTGTAAAATGATTTTATGGCCCTTTGCACATTCTGTATTTTTTGTGATGTTACATACTTTTTAAAATTTGAGGTAATTTAGGAAACTTTGAAAATATGTTCTACCTAAATTGTCACATGGCTTTTCCTTTCTAGAATTGCATGTCTGCGATAGATTCTGTGATGTTTTTATATGTTTAATTGTTGGTTAAAATCTGTAGCTTCCACTTTTTAAAATATTGAATTTTGTTTTGTTCTTCTGTATTTGTGTAGTCCTCCCTGATTCTTTGGTTCAATTTATTTTATTATTTATTGGATTTATCTACACAGGTCTTTATCGTTCTACTGTGTTGAAATATTTAAATTATAATGCAGCTCATTAGGTAAAGGGACCCTGACCATTAGGTCCAATCGTGGCCAACTCTGGGGTTGTGGCGCTCATCTCACTTTACTGGCCAAGGGAGCCGGCGTACAGTCATGTGGCCAGCATGACTAAGCCACTTCTGGCGAACCAGAGCAGCGCACGGAAATGCTGTTTACCTTCCTGCCAGAGTGGTATCTATTTATCTACTTGCACTTTTGACATGCTTTCGAACCTTCTGATTGGCAAGTCCTAGGCTCTGTGGTTTAGACCACAGCGCCCCCTGCATCTAATGCAGCTCATTAGCAGTAACATAAAAGGAAACAAGATATCTGTTCACCTGCTACTTTACATACAGTATGCATTTTTAAATCCAGTATTATGTAACCTTTTGCTAGAGGCTATTAGGTGTTGCTGTCAGTGATTAGAATAAGCAAGCAGGCAGTGTTGTAGTTTTTAACAGCAACCAACTTTGACTCTTAATAGTATTTGATGTTGCACATTGCTATTTCTAGCCTGTTTACATGGACGCAACCACAGCATAATTTTTTCCTACATTAGTTTTAGGAACAAGAATTGCCGCTTTGTTAGTACAAGTGCATGTTACATTATCTTGCTTTCATGAGCTTTGCTACGATGGAAAGTATAATTTTGGACAATCCAAAAAAACCATTGGCATGTTTGGGCAAAACAGTAACTAACAAACAATCTTAAGGTCCCCAAAGCATTATGCATGGGAAACAATAGCTTAAACAAAGCATCCTTGTTGAGAAGAGTGGAATCACAATGGCTACAACCATGTCAAAGATCTGAACTTGTGAATTACAAGCATACTCTTGTCTGCTATATTGCCTAATTGTAAGGAGCAGTCTTCTTGTTCAGAGCCGGCCCATCCACGACACTAGATGAGGCAGCCGCCTCAGGCGGCAGAAATGGAAGAGGCGGCGCTCACATGAGCACATTGCCCCACTGCCACTGCAGAAGCAACCCAGGTAAGGGAGGCTTCAGCAGTGGCAGAAGGGCACTGTGTTCTCCTGGAAAGGAACACAGGAAAGTACTTCTCCTTAAAGAGCAGCACTTTCTGAAGTTCCCCACCCCTCCCTGGCACAGCCTGTTGGGAAGGCAAGGCTTGAGGAGATGGAGAGGGGCTTGCAGAGCCTCGTGGCCCCTTCCATCATGGGGGCGGCAGGGGAAGTTCCGCCTCAGGCATTGACAGGTCTTAGACAAGCCCTGGTCATGTGCCACAAATGAGACCACAAAAAAGTTCACAATTACTTACAAGATTTTGTCAAGATTATACTGGCCAGGGTGGACAACATAACATTTGTGTTTGTGTGACTGATGTGTTCGTGATTTTTTTTTTAAAGTTTTCTGAGTTTGTGCCATTTGGGATTGTGTTAGCTGATGCTGCAGCTGCTGTGGGACAAAAACATCATGCAGGGACAGGAATTGACTCACCCTGTGTAGCAATCAGCCCTTTTCTTTCTCGCTTCACCTAGCTGTGATGTGTCATTTTGGTGCCACTGCTAACCAGGACCATCTGAGCAATATGAGATGCATCCCTAGAGCATCCATTGTATCTGTATCAGTTTGTGGTGCTGAACCCACAAAATGAGACAATATTTCTGAAAGCTGAGTAAACTTTGAGGGTGGGAACACTACTTATGAACTGCTAGCTGTAGTTGAACTGGTTCAGAGAAGGATCGTTTCTGATTCTTGTGGAAACTGGTTATACACCTGATGCCTATCATTTACAAAGTAAGAATACATTGTGGACATAAATGTGCTGCACAGAGTCGCTGGAGGCCTCTTCTCGGAAGCCGGCTGGTACGGGTGAGTACTTCTGAGCCCCAAGGGAGGACCAGGGGAGGAGATGGCTGAACTCCAGGATGTGCCGTTCAGGATGTGGAGTTCAGCCATCTCCTCCCCTGGTCCTCCCTTGAGGCTCAGAAGTACTCACGCGTACCAGCCGGCTTCCAAGGAAAGGCCTCCAAGGGAGGGAACATTCCAGAGCCCTGTGGCCAAAAACCACCCCCTTGCTCCTCTGGACCAGATCTCCCAGTTCTGGCCGGTGAGCTTCTCAAACGGCACAATAAATGTGGAGGTTTTTGAATCGGATGGTTACACTTTCTGAAGCTCAAAATTCTGCTGCTGCACACGCAGTGGTACCTCGGTTGTCAAACGTAATCCATTCCAGAAAACTGTTTGACTTCCAAAATGTTCGACAACCGAGGCGCAATGAGCGGTCGGCAAATTCCATTGAGAAAATGGAGAAATGGGCCTCAGAAGTTGTTCGACTTCCAAGGCGCGTTCAAAAATGGACGCATTCACTTCTGGGTTTTCGGCATTCGTGTTCCAAATCGTTCAGCTTCCAAGATGCTCAAAAACCGAGGTTCCACTGTACTTCTAATTCAACGTGTTTTGAAAATATTTTCAAGACAGTAATAGTTTTTTTAATGTAGTGTCACAATTGCTGTGTATCATTGGTTCCTTTTTCCTGGTTTCTACACTAGGGAATGTTCTTTATTATCCAGAGCTGATGGTATTACTGGGTTTCAGACCAAGAAATCCCTCCAGAGCTACGTTGTTGCCTGCTGGAAAATATTGTAGGAGAACAAGGAAGAATCTGGGACCATTCAAGAATAAAGATGATCTTCAAACAGTTGTCCCTTAAAACTAAGGCTGCAGCAGTTGCTGGAATTGTCTTCTTCTCCATGATAGCATCTCGGACACTTTTGGCTGACAGGATTGAGGAGAAGCGTTTGAGGTGGCTGGTCAGACTGCAGATGTTACTATTTGCTAACGCCCTGATGTTCATAGGATCGCTTCACATATGGAGAAGCCTTGTGACCGTGTTCTACAGATCACCAACTCCCATGTTGTCCTGTTTCACCTTATGGAAAACAGCTGTGTTAATGTTCCTGATTTTGGCACACTCGAGCTTTTTTACAGTTCTTCTGCTTGTTGCAGAGGAACCATATTTATTTTCTTTAGCTGCTCATACCTGCCTTGGAGGGTACATCCTCCTTATATTCTGCCTCTTTGTCCTAGGCTCCTTGGAACAAGTTTATAATCTCTTGCTCCAAAGACAGGCAAAGGTGGGCAGTGCCAGTAAAAATGCCAAACTGGCAATAAAGCCAGCTCTAGCGGTTGTGTTGACAGTTGTGTTGACTGTTCTGGGACTCCTCAATGCTTCCCAGCCACCTGCAGTGAAGTCAGTAGTGATTCCTCTTCACAAACTGCCACTGTCTATGGACCAATTGAAGGTGGTCTTGCTTTCAGATATTCACCTGGGGCCAACCATTGGCAAGACCAAACTGGAAATGGTTGTAAAAATGGTTAGGACCTTGAAACCGGATATCACGGTGATTGTGGGTGACTTGACTGATTCTGACGTGGAAGGCCTTGGGCATGCTGTGAAACCTCTTGGCATGCTTAACTCCCCACTGGGAACTTATTTTGTCACAGGAAACCATGAGTACTATACCTCTGATGTCAACAGTTGGTTTGAAGTGCTGAAATCACTAAACATCCGCCCTCTGCATAATGAGAACATCAAGATTATGTCCCCCAAGGGTAGGAGCGCCGATTGGTTTTGTCTGGCAGGGGTAGATGATATCGAGGCTACTGCAATGCATTACCCTGGCCATGGGATGGATTTAAATAAGGCTCTTGGAGACTGTGGCACAGATCATGCCATCGTTCTTCTTGCCCACCAGCCACTTGCTGCTAAATGGGCTCTCCAAGCTCGGCCAGATATAAATTTGATCTTGTCTGGGCATACTCACGGAGGGCAGATATTTCCTCTGAATATTGCTGCCTATTTCTTGAATCCATTCTTTGTTGGCTTGTACAAGGTCGGACAAAACACTTTTGTGTACGTTAGCCCAGGGACGTTTTATTATGGAATGCCAATGAGATTGGGAAGTAGAGCAGAAATAACTGAGATAATTCTGCGTTCTCAATCATCAGCATGAAATAATTTATTTAATTTGGCTTGTGCAGTGCATCTTCTTGTTCATAAAATGCCACGATTTCTCTGGGATCCTGCTGAGCAGGTACAAAATTTAATAGCTTATTGGGATGCTACCTTTGAAACGCCCCTGAAACTTTAATGAAAACTCTGAGAATAGCCTACGTTTGGGGTGTGTAACATTGTCCCAGGTAAGGTTGTGAGACAAGTTGTCAAACCAGAATGTTGTGTTTTTGAAAATTCCTATTATTTTATGCTTTTGTATGGTGGCACTTTCATATTTATCCAGAGTTCTTGCATTGATTTTTTTATTGGAGTGTTATGTTTTGATCTGTGAATTGTTGTTGAAATTGTTGAAATTGTTGAAATGCATTAAAAATATTAAATTAAAACATACTCATTGTTGTGGCTTTGGGCGTGTTGTGTATTGCTTCTTCTGCTTTGTGTATTGTGACCTACTCTGAACACAATCTCCTTTTGTGGAAAGTGGTATACAAATTAAAAGAAGACTCAAATCTAGCCCTGACTACAAAGAGGAGTCTCTTCCCCAATGACATACATTCAACTTATTACTAAACTGAAAACTATGGAGAGACCTGGTCTGAATAGAGATATTGGATATTGGATTCTTGTCTCATGACATATGCTAAAGCTATTTTTGGTCACCTGCTTACTATCCCTTGGTTTTTCCTGCAGGACTAAGTGCAGTTGTTAACAGTCCAACAGTTTACCATACCCCTTGAGTCCATCACCCATCTCCTACTACCCTTCTGAGAAAAACCCCACCCCACCCTCCCACTATATATATAAGGGTCTGGTGACTTCTCTTTCAGTGTATCTGAAGAAGTGTGCATGCACACAAAAGCTTATACCCAGAACAAACTTAGTTGGTCTCTAAGGTGCTACTGGACGATTTTTTAATTTTTAAAATTTTTATTTATTCTGTCCCTGCTCATCCCAAGTGGACCTTGCGGTAGGATTGCTATCTTGTCATGCTGTGGAAGAACTAATTCATGCTGTGGAAGAACTTAAATGAGACTGTTTTGGTGGAATTAAAATCTTATTTTAGTACACGACCCAAGGAAAGAACTTGCAACTTCTGCCTGAAATAGAGAAGTACGGTAGAGTGATTAGTAAGTAGATATTTAATTATATAGCACTGTCCGTGTGCATGGTGGTGGATGGAATGCAAGAGGAGGACAGGTCCCTGACTTGAGTTTACAGTCTAAAAATCAGTACGGGGAACAAGAAATAAAGCAGAGTTGGGGAAATGGGGAAGCAATCTGTGATTATTTCAGTTATGTTTACACTTAGCTACCTGCAGGGCATGGGAACTAGGCGATTGTTCCAAAGATTTCATAGAAAAGTTGGCTTTTAAACCATGAGAGGTGGCATCAGGTAGGTGTTCTGAGAAATGGGTTCAAGCTAAACTGGGCAGCGAGGGCGGAGCTTTTAAGGTTGGTGGGATGTGAAGAGCAAGAGATCCAAGACAGGAGAAGATCAGGGTTGGGAGAGAGAGGATGGCTAATATAGACCTAAAGGCATGTACCTATAGAATAGGGTTATGGAAGAAAAATATTAAAATAAGAGGGTTGAAAGAAAAAGCGGAAGGTAGGAATGTACAGTGGTACCTCAGGTTACAGATGCTTCAGGTTACAGACGCTGCAGGTTACAGAGACTGCTAACCCAGAAATAGTACCTCAGGTTAAGAACTTTGCTTCAGTATGAGAACAGACGTTGTGTGGTGGCAGCAGGAGGCCCCATTAGCTAAAGTGGTACCTCAGGTTAAGAACAATTTTGGGTTAAGAATGGACCTCCAGAACGAATTAAGTTATTAACCCGAGGTACCACTGTAATTCTTTTTTTAAAAAAAGAAATGCTGATTTTGTAGAGATAATTGATTTATAGATGTTTCTTTTAGGATTGAATAGTTCAGTGCTGGTACACAAAGCTAATGATTTGGCAGAAATAATGATGCGGGGCAGGTGTTATAATAAATATTCCCTAGCACAGGGGTGGCTAACCTGCACCCCCTAGATATTATTGGACTCACAACTCCCATCAGCCCCAGCTTTCATGTCCAATGTAACATCTGGGGGGCTGCAGGCTCCCCACTTCTGCTGTAAAGGTTAAAATTGTAATTTTGGTAACGTTTGATCAGCACAGCGGTGTGTTTTGGGTCTTGTATGTGTGGTGGTCAGTTCTGAATTGTTACAGTGCTGTTACTATTTTGTATTAAACGAATAAATTCTAGACTGGAGGTGGCAAAATGTTGGTTAGAGGAAAGCGTGCCTCCCTCTCCTAGCATGGAAGGGCCATGTCTCTGCTTGTGTTAAAAAATAAAATAAAAATTGATTTAGGATTAAGATATGTTGAATTGTAGAATACTATGGGTTGAGATTATGATGAAAAGGAAGGAAGTTAGTAATTTGAATTAGTTAATTGTATTAGAAAATGAGTATTGGAAAATTGCTAAAATGAGATTTAATGAAAATCAGTTAGGAAGGATTTGAGGAAGTCACTTAACAATGGAAATTAGCTTGGATTTTGATTGGAAGAAATTGTCTATGTTTGTTTGTTTTCTATATGTTTTGTTTCTTACGTTATGTTGCATTTGTTAAAAATTTGGAAAATCAATTAAAAAAATTGGGGGAAAACTTCTGTTCTTTCCCGAAAGCTAAAGCTCCTGTCCACCTAACGTATCTTCACAGGTCACATCCCAGAGAAGCTTTGGGATCGATTATGCCCACAACTGCTTCCTCAAGGATGGGAAACCATTCCGTTACATCTCGGGCAGCTTCCATTACTCCCGCGTTCCCCGGTACTACTGGAAAGACCGCCTCTTGAAGATGAAGATGGCAGGTCTTGATGCCATCCAAACGTAGGTAGCAAGAGTGGTTCTCAGGCAACCATTAAAAGGGGTGAGGCGTCCTCTGAAGATGCAGCCCGAGTTATGTATTGACTTCATTGGCAAAGAGCCAGAAGGTGTAGCAATACAAGAAACTCATTATAGTTGTAGGAGAAAAATTGGCTGGAGGCCAGTTCACGAGAGATGTTGCCCGTTTCCCAACTAAATGGTAGCCAGGAACACATTCTGAAAGCGGTGTAATACAGTTGTTTACTCTTGACTTCCGTTTATTCCAGAGCAAGGTACTGCTACCTAAAATGAGCAGATATATACCGTATTTTTCGCCCCATAGGGTGCACCGGCCCATAGGGCGCACCTAGTTTTTTTTGGGGGGGGGAAATAAAGGGGAAAAAATTTATTTCCCCCCCAGGCGCAGGCTTCCCCCACCCCAGCCCCCAGAACAGGCTGCTATCCGCAAGCCTAGGGAGCCCGACGGGAAGTCGCGCCAGTCTCCCCAGGCTTGCGGATATCTTCCTGAAGCCCGGGGCGCATGGCTCAGCGCGCCCCAGGCTTCGGGCTGCAGGCAGCTCCCACCGCCAGCCTCCAAACCAGGTCGGGGAACAGCGGGAAGGTGCGCTCCGCCTCCCCGCTGTCCCCCGAGCTTGTGGGGCTGGCGGTGGGGAGAAGCGCTGCTTTCCCCACCGCCAGCCTCCAAACCAGGTCAGGTTTGGAGGCTGCTATCCGCAAGCCTTGGGAGCCCGACGGGAACTCCCGCGGAGCTCCCAAGGCTTCCGGATAGCTTCCTGATGCCTGGAGAGCGAGAGGGGTCGGTGCGCACCGATCCCTCTCGCTCTCCAGGCTTCAACGAAAGCCTGCATTCGCCCCATAGGACGCACACACATTTCCCCTTCATTTTTGGAGGGGGAAAAGTGCGTCCTATAGGGCAAAAAATACAGTATGTGCATCCAGCTTATTGCTTCTGCCTTCCTTGTGCTGTGGCAGTTCAAGATGTATTGGCGCAGTCATGCATTTCTGCCTATTTGCTTCTTCAGGGGGGGGGGAGCAGAACAGCATGCTGTGCTTTAAAGTAAGTCAAAACGCTTCTCCGGGGTAAAAGTTGCTTTCTGCAACTTCCATAAACTGCAAATTAAGAAAGGTTGGATGCACTTGATCATTCTGCTTATTATTATTATGACATGGGGAAATTCTATGCTATTTATCAAGATTTACCAAGCTTTGCCCATTTGTTCTCCAGACTATTTTTGCAGCTTCAACAACTAGAAACTTGCTGCATCAAAAAGAAACAATACAGTGGTACCTCAGGTTACATACACTTCAGGTTACAGACTGTACTAGTGTTCGTGTGACACTGAATTCTATGTCCCATCACCTTTCCTTGGTGACAGATTTTGTTCTGATACCTTCTCCATGAGTAACGGCATTCTTATTTAGAGCAGATATAATGACAAACCTTTTTTAGTGTTATGCTTTTGTGAAAGCCTTGCTGCTTTTGCATCTCTAAAACAGCAATATCCCTGTCAACAGCAATATCCCTCCCAAAGTGTGATTCTAAGATAGAGCCACCAGAGAGAGCTAGATTCACGTGCTCTGACATGCTGAAAAGCTTGTCTGTCAGAAGTAGCCAGCAGCACAATCGCTTCATCATGCATGAAAAAAGCACAGTCTGTACTAGGGGCCAGCAATCTTTTTCAGCTGTGGGCCGGTCCACCATCTCCCAGACCATGTGAGGGGCCGGACTTTATTTTTTGGGGGGGAAATGAACGATTTCCTATGCCCCACAAATAACCCAGAGATGCATTTTAAATAAAAGCACACATTCTACTCGTGTAAAAACACGCTGATTACCGGACCATCCGCCGGCCCAATTGAGAAGGCGATTGGGCCGCATCCAGCCCCTGGGCCTTAGGTTGCCAACTCCTGGTCTATACTGAAAGGTTCTCCTGCACGAGCCTTGTCAAAGCGAATGGCAACCGTACAAGAGCTTTACTCATGTTAGAGAACTTTCCCCCAAGTTGTGTTAAGAATCTACGGAAAAACAAATCCTTTAGCTTGGATCCAAAGAGCCACATGTAGAGGAAAAAGTACTGTGTGCAGTTCTGTGCACGGAAGCACAAATCAAAACACACAAGCATGGCGCACAATTAAGAGGGAGAGGCATGCTTTTCACATGAAGGAGAGTCTTTGCATGATTCCCCACTCAACTCTGAACTCTCTGGTGCGAAGGCCTGTTCATGCATTCAGAAAAGGAACATCTGCACTTCATATCCCACCTGGCTGTTAGGTGTAATTCCTTCAGGTGCAATTATATTGCTGCTTGTGCCATTTTTGTAATTCTAACGTAAGAGGCGTATGTGGTATTTGCAGGTATGTCCCGTGGAACTTTCACGAAGTTGAGCCAGGAGTTTACAACTTCGCTGGTGATCGAGACCTTGAGAGTTTCCTGCGGCTTGCCGATGAGATTGGCTTGCTCGTCATCCTGAGGGCTGGGCCATATATATGTGCAGAATGGGACATGGTAAATATTTATCCTCATCTGTTGGTGGGGAGGCCAGAGGGCATTGCACGAGAGGACGTGTTATCCCACGCTTTCCAGTGTATTGCAAAAAGTCTGATCTTTTGCAGAAGCAGTTGTGTTGCAGGTTTGCTGCGCAAGCTTTCCCAATCGGCTATAACTGCACAGCCTGAATTTGCCAGGGTGGCATAGAATCCCAATAATAATAATAATAATAATAATAATAATAATAATAATTTATTTATACCCCGCCCATCTGGCTGGGTTTCCCCAGCCACTCTGGGTGGCTTCCAACAGAATATTAAAATACAATAGTCTATGAAACATTAAAAGCTTCCCTAAACCCAAGAATAGTGACAGTCTGGAAGCGCTCTTGTTTTCACGTTTGACTGACATTCACAAGATAATGGACATGGAATACTGTGATGCCCTAAATGTAGCTTGTCTGCTCGTTTCCATCCCAAAACTGGTCCAAACCCACCTGCTCCTTCAACTATAATCTTGGTTCAGTTCCTTGGCCATGCTGGAGTGCGACAAAAAGAAGAGAATCAAGAAAACCCCCTTTTAAATAGTGGTTTTAAGTCAATACTGGAATCAGTGTTGTTCCCCAATAGTTGCTTATATGAGTTTGGGTGCTAGGATTTTCCTGCATAACGTGATGCTATCATCAATCATGGTATTGAGCAGTACAGCTGGGCGATACCTGGTTTTCAGCATCATGATACAGTAGTACCTCGGGTTACATATGCTTCAGGTTACATACGCTTCAGGTTACAGACTCCGCTAACCCAGAAATATTACCTCGGGTTAAGAACTTTGCTTCAGAATGAGAACAGAAATCATGTGGTGGCAGCGGGGGGCCCCATTAGCTAAAGTGGTGCTTCAGGTTAAGAACAGTTTCAGGTTAAGAACAGACCTCCAGAACGAATTAAGTTCTTAACCCGAGGTACCACTGTATATCACCAGCTAAACATCGCAATACTCCAATATATCACAATGTCTGAAATAAGGATGGAGCTATGTAGAGGCACTGGCTGGCTTCACACTTTCCCCCACATTGTGATTTTTACATAGCACACACACACACAGTATATTGCCAGGTCAAAAGTTATTAAACCAATATAACGATATGGACTTCAAACCAGTTTTGGAAGATAAATTAATGTATCACCCAGCTTTTAACACCCATCATGATTTGTGATATATTGCTGGGTCAAAAACTATGAAATCAGTATCATGATATGCACTTCAGACCAGTTTTGGAAGATAAATTAAAATATCTTGCCCAGCCCAGTTTGGCAGATTTTAAAGGATGTGATCTTGATAATGTCAAAGGGAACAGAGGCAGGCCGTTCTGCTCCACTTGCCCCTGATAGATTCTTAAGACCCACTTAGTACCAAACAGGGAAGGGGCTGCCCGACCAAAGCCTTCCTTACATCGGTTGCATGGCAGTGCCCACAAAGCGGCAGCAGCGGGTTCCCTGCAAGATCTCATGAGATCTTGTGAGATTTGGGCGACATATTGGTGAAAGTTGGCGCCACTTCGCCGGTGGCGGAGGTGCCTCTTAGGCTTCCGCTGCCTAAGGTGGCAGCCTCAGCATGTTTCATGTGTGTAACAGTCCTGATACCAACCTCCTCAAAGTGTCGTGCTGTGCCACCTATGGGGGTGTGGAGCCATTTGGATGGCCCTCAAAACCCTTTGAGGAGGCCACTCTCCATTTTGATGAAGGTGGTGCAACACAACTCTGCTGGGGACACAGCCATGGCCTCATGTTGATTTTAGGGTTCTTTTACCCTGCTCTGAGCACTAGGCCACACAGCTCATAGACCTGCATTGTTAGGTGGTAGACCAGGACTGTGAATTCAGCATAGTAACCCCAAGATTGTGGAACCCCTCCCAACTGAGATTAGAAAGGTACCTTCCTTCCTGCACTTCAGATGCGTGGCTAATCCTTCCTTCTTCCTGCAGACATTTTAAAATAATGTTCGGTTTTATGATAAAAAAAATACTGCTTTATTGTCCCACTTTCTGTGGATTGTCTTAATGTGCACCACTTAGAGTTAATTTGGATATGCAGAAAATATTAAAAATAAATTTAAGGAACCGCAGAAAGAGAGGGAAGGAAGTCAAGTTTGGAAATGTTAAAATGACTGTAAAATTATTGAAATGTATAAACCTGAAAATCATAAATTATACACACACACATATAAATAAATAAATATAAAATGAATGATGACAAAAAATGTACACCACTTAGAAATTTGAATAATTAAATTATAAATATATAAATATATAATTTATATATAAATTATACACACACACACATATAAATAAATAAATATAAAATGAACTCTGATGACAAAAAATGTACACCACTTAGAAATGTGAATAATTAAGGAGTATAAAAATGCCTTAAATGAACAAATAATACTATTCCTGCTGGCTGGCTATTATAGTAGATGCTTCCAGCGGGTGGAAATCCATCTATTTTCTGAGGCAAGTATCTTTATATGGTTTTGCTTTCCAAGTATATTTTATAGTTTTCTTTTTTCCTTTCTAGGGAGGTCTACCTGCCTGGCTATTAGAAAAAGAAACCATCGCCCTTAGATCTTCTGACGCAGGTAACGAGTTCAAGAAAATGCTCAGTGTTCAATATCAGTACTTAAGATGACATTGCTAGAAGTCAAATGTGAAGTTCATACCTGTGAGCCACTTGCTATCCTCCCTCCCCCATGTGATCTCATGGCTTACCTCAAGTATGTGATTAAGCAGAGAAAGGTAACTTTATAGTTCTCTATCCTATATCCAGGGATAGTTGGAAACGATGGCATGAAGGGGAGCACATGGAAGACACACCTTGAATGTGCGAATCAGCCCATAAAATGCTCTTAACACATTTTTGGGGAGCAGTGATGGAAGAGTTTAAGACACAAGCAAGGGCTACTCCCATTTTTGAGCATATAAACCATGACTGTAACTCAGTTCTGGCCCACACTTTAAGCAAAACATGGAGGGTTCTGGTTTGGCAGAGAGCCGAAGTAAAGAGAAACATGGCGGCCTTCATGTTAGCAATTCCAGGGATTTGAATGATTATTTATATTTGTGTACATTTAATTATTTTATGGGGGACGCGGGTGGCGCTGTGGGTAAAAGCCTCAGCGCCTAGGGCTTGCCGATCGAAAGGTCGGCGGTTCGAATCCCCGCGGTGGGGTGCGCTCCCGTTGCTCGGTCCCAGCGCCTGCCAACCTAGCAGTTCGAAAGCACCCCCGGGTGCAAGTAGATAAATAGGGACCGCTTATCAGCGGGAAGGTAAACGGTGTTCCGTGTGCTGCGCTGGCTCGCCAGATGCAACTTGTCACACTGGCCACGTGACCCGGAAGTGTCTCCGGACAGCACTGGCCCCCGGCCTCTTGAGTGAGATGGGCGCACAACCCCAGAGTCTGTCAAGACTGGCCCGTACGAGCAGGGGTACCTTTACCTTTACCTTTAATTATTTTATAGACATGCAAGAACTAAACAACAGGGAAATAAACAAATTTTTCATAAAACAATTACTGTAATAACTTCCAATGTATGCAATCTCTCTTTTATATTTTTCCAGATTACTTGGCAGCTGTAGAAAGATGGATGGGGGTCTTACTACCAAAGATGAAGGTTCATCTTTACCAGAACGGAGGCCCAATTATTATGGTGCAGGTAAAATTATGAAATTGAAATAAATGCATGCATGGAATTTCCTATAATATACATGAAAACGGGGAAAAACCCAAAAACCTGAATGCTGTTAGTGCATTTATTTGGAAATGTGTCCTTTTAAAGCATTTTCCCACTTGAAAGGTTGTTCATGGTATACTCATTTTAGGATAGAATAATACAGTGGTGCCCCGCAAGACGAATGACTCGCAAGACGGAAAACCCGCAAGACAAAAGAGTTTTCCGTTTTGGAGGCGCTTCGCAAGACGAATTTCCCTATGGGCTTGCTTTGCAAGAAGAAAGCCCATAGGGAAATCTCCGGGGACCTCTTTTAAATGCTGGCGGTGGGGAGCAAAGCCTTTCCCCCCATCCGGCCTTCAGAAGAGGTCCAGGAAAGCCGGCGGGGGCCGAAAGGCTTTGCTCCCCACCGCCAGCATTTGAAAAGCGGTCCGGGATAGCAGGGAAGCGCTTCCCACTATCCCGGACGGCTTTTGAAGGCAGGCGGGGGGGGGGCGGGGACCAAAGACCTTTGCCCCCCGCCGGCCTTCAGAAGAGGTCCAGGACCAAAAAGTCTTTGCTCCCCCCTGCCTGCCTTCCTGGGGGCTTTTAAATCGCCCCGGGACAGTGGAGAAGTCCTCCGCTGTCCCGGGGCGATTTTAAAATGCTGGGGGTGGGAAGAAAAGCCCTTGTCCCCCCCCCCAGCCTTCAGAAGAGGTCGGGGGACAGACTGTCCCCGGACCTGGTCTGAAGGCGGTTTCCCTAGGAACGCATTGATTGATTTTCAATGCATTCCTATGGGAAACCGTGCTTCGCAAGACAAAAAACTCGCAAGAAGAAAAAACTTGCGGAACGAATTAATTTCGTCTTGCGAGGCACCACTGTACAGCAATGTCCAACCGGTCAACCGTGATTGACAGGTAGATTGCTACGGCCCTCCACGCCGATCGCGGGACTAAAAGAAGAGACCGCCTGGTTGCTCCTGAGTAATCATGACACGCCTTGCCCCCATATCTGCCTCACCCCCTAAAAACAGCTCAACAACTCTGGTTACTCCCCCCTTTAAAAAGTTCAACAAATATGGGCAATGACAATGGGTGGACCACTGTCAGTTTTATTAAAGGTAAAGGGACCCCTGACTATTAGGCCCAGTCGTGGTCGACTCTGGGGTTGCGGCGCTCATCTTGCTTTATTGGCCGAGGGAGCCGGCGTACAGCGGGTCATGGCTAGCATGACTAAGCCGCTTCTGGCAAACCAGAGCAGTGCACGGAAACGCCATTTACCTTCCCGCCGGAGCGGTACCTATTTATCTGCTTGCACTTTGACGTGCTTTCAAACTGCTAGGTTGGTAGGAGCTGGGACAAAGCAACGGGAGCTCACCCCGTCACGGGGATTCGAACCGCCAACCTTCTGATTGGCAAGTCCTAGGCTCTGTGGTTTAACCCACAGCGCCACCCGCGTCCCAAGTTTTATTACTCCCAGTTTTATTACACTGGGAGTAAATCGCAGTCTCTATAGAGTTGGAGGTGCCTGGAATAATATATTCAAGTGATGCAGGATTGGGGAGGTATTCAGAAACCATATGGTACTTATGAACAATTTCATAATCGTTCATGTCCAAGAAACGACTTGCTTCAAATCTCAGGCATAATGGACAAGACTGGGGGTTGTGTAGCGTCTGCAAAAGCTGCTGTGACTGACCAGATTTGGGTGGTTGACCAGTGGCTCTTTAGATGGTGCTGGACTGTAACTCCTTATCCATTGACCATGCTTGCTGGGACTGATGGGAGCTGGAGTCTAGAAGCATCTGGAGAACCACAGGTTAGGCACCCAAGAGATGGAACATTTACACCAGTCCTCTTGAGAGAGTACCCCAGGACTGGCATTGCTTCATTTGTACAGTCAGGACTTGCCAAGAATTAGGAATAAAGATCTTATTTATTGACCGTGGCGAGAATGACCATAGCCAGTACATGGAAAACATTACAATGGTTGACCATGGATAAGTGGTTTGAAGCAGTCTGGCAGACAGCTTTGTTGGAAAAGCTAACATGGAAACTGCAGGTAGCAAGAGGCTCAAAGAAAAACGATAGCTTCTATACAGTATGGGGCGATTTTATTGAACACACAGGTAGTAAGGCCCATAGGGGAGTAGAGTTTGGGGTGGGTAACGCAGTTTGGAATACTTGAAGCATACATTTTAACCTCTCAGATTGTTGCAGATATAATGTGTTCCTTCCTTTTAATGAGACTGGACCACATGATGTGTTATTTTATGGTTTTTAAGATTATGAGAAATATATGCTACTTTAAAAATTTTAAAAAACACGCAAAAAACAGTCCTATTGAGAATGTGGGCCACACCACCTCATTCCTACAATTTATTTCATTCATATATGTTTAGATCTCATTGAACAAATGGCTCACTTGCACATAGTGGCATCTAGATGGTTAGGATACTTCACAGTGTGTTTGAGCCCTAAATTAACATACACCTAATCTAAGACTCTGGTGAGTAAAGAAGACAGAAGAGGGATTATTTCTACCTCTCTTCTCAACCTCAAAATGGAGGCCTCAGAATGTGGTTAAGCTGCTTCCAGTCAACCCAGGAAGTTGAAACTTGCTCTAACAGCAGTCTACGTTTCACTGATTACTAAGAAAGCCTTTAAAAATGGAGCATTTTTGCATCTAATAGTCAAAACCTGAGACACGAAGTTTTCCTCACCAGGGAGCCATCACTCCAGCACATATTGAGCCTAGCAGAACATGGAGTGTTTGGTTATGAGACTCCATTGGTTTTTCACACACTTCAGGCCGACCAAGGCTACAATCCTATATACGCATTTTCTCGAAAGTAAATATCATTGGCATGCATAGGTTTGCAGAGTAGGGTTTAAAGAACACACCCAGCGGTAGCTTGGAGCCTTCTTACAAAATGCAAGCTTTATTTACTAGTAGCGAATAAGCTTTTTACTTTTCTTCTAAAATGGCTCCATGTTAATGCAATGCAGTATTATGTATCACAATCAAATACAGCAGCAGCTCTGATAATTCAATATAGGACTTTAAGAAAATAGATCACACTGAAAATTACTCCAGATATAATTGCTACTGCTAGACATCTTCCTGGGTCCACTGTTATGTGAGTGGCATAAATTGCTTGCAAGGCAGAAGTCTGATGAGGAGATCATTATAAATTAGTATTAAAAAGCAGTGTTATTGAATAGTATTTTAAGCTGCTCACATGGATTTAAGTCAAGATTTTTTGTTTCCTATGAAAAGAGGGTATTTAAGGTAGTTAGCATGTCTTGGGAACATCATAATAAAGACTGTTACTTTGGAAAAATGTTCCCCAGAATTCCCAAAAAGATCTGCAGCAGAGGTTTTTAATTGTGGAAATATGATCTTATTTTAGGGGTTTTTTTTGTATGATTATTTGAACTTCTCTTGTTTTTCTACACATTATAATATTTCTATTTATCGGTTAACTTCCACGCTAGTTAACGGTTGTCAGCTTTCTTCCTTACTAATTTTATGTGTATGTTTGGTTTAGGTTGAAAATGAATACGGAAGCTACTTCGCCTGCGATTTTGATTACCTTCGTTACCTTCAGAGCCTTTTCCATCAGCACCTGGGGGATGAAGTGGTGCTGTTCACCACAGATGGCGCAAGCAAGTTTCTCTTGAGATGTGGGACTCTTCAAGGCCTTTATTCCACTGTGGATTTTGGACCAGGTTGGTTGCTGTCTTGGGCAGCGCAACTAACTGGAAGCAAGCTTGTGGGAAATTTACTCGCAAGTACGGTGGAATTTATTCCCAAGTAAAGATGCAGAGATTTGGGCAGATATATATTTTTTCATTATTAGAGGAACATAAGAAGCTACTAAGACTAGTGGGATCCAGTTACTGGCGTGCCGAAAATCTAGGTTGTGCAGTACACAACAAACCTACTTCTCCCAAAGAGTGGTATTTCTATAAGGAAAATAATGGGGAAATGCACATTTGAGCACCATTTAGATGTTGATCTGCTTTTCCTTCATTGGAATTAGACCAAAGTAGTCCACACCTATTGGGACGTGGGTGGCGCTGTGGGTTAAACCACAGAGCCTAGGACTTGCCGATCAGAAGGTTGGCGGTTCGAATCCCCGCAACGGGGTGAGCTCCCGTTGCTCGGTCCCTGCTCCTGCCAACCTAGCAGTTCGAAAGCACGCCAAAGTGCAAGTAGATAAATAGGTACCGCTCCGGCGGGAAGGTAAACGCCGTTTCTGTGCGCTGCTCTGGTTCACCAGAAGTGGCTTAGTCATGCTGGCCACATGACCCGGAAGATGTATGCCGGCTCCCTCGGCCAATAAAGCGAGATGAGCGCCACAACCCCAGAGTCGGTCACGACTGGGCCTAATGGTCAGGGGTCCCTTTACCTTTACCTTAGTCCACACCTGCACACATTTGAATCAGTGCACATTATTATTATTATTATTATTATTATCATTATTATTATTATTATTAAATCCGGCAGGTATGGTGGTTTCTCCATCATGGATCCTCCATTTTAGGATTGCTTTTCCTAGATATTTTTAATATCTCTGACCCCTGCCCCCTTTTATTTATTCAGTTTATCAACTTTGGCAAGACGTGCTGGTCCGGCTGTTTGGGTTTACTCTAGAGAGAGGGGTTGACACTGGGGAATTTTGAAAACGTCTTCTACCAGCGTGGTATGCAGAGTTAAATCATTATAGTACGCCTTTCACCAGTATAATCCTAGTCTGTTTATTCACATGATGACATTCTGGGGTGGGTTTCTTTGCATTGAGCTTAACCTTGTGAGGGTTGTTTAGGTCTCATGCTTGATAAACCTATGGCTAGATACCCAAATGAATGCCCTTGTTATGAATGAGTGTGCTTTTTGTGTTCTGTTCAACAAGTCACCTCATATATGTCTCTGTTGTGTTCAATTGTGCAAGTTTTTTTTTAGGTTAACATATTCCCAGCCTTCTCTTCTTCTTTAATTTGTTTATGTAGTTATAGCCAGGCTCCCCTCTCATTCTTCTTGCACCTAGATTCTGTCCATAGTTTTCTTTAGAAAGTTTCCTGTCATAATTGATGGACTCTGGTTTCCCTTTTGCAATTCTCCAGTGAGTGTGGAATGCAAAATGCTTTTTTATTGACAGCACATGTGACTTTGTGTAGATATGTTGTGCGCAGGGCTTTTTTTCCCAGCCGGAACTTGCCAGAACTGAGTTCTGGCACTTCTCATTGCTATTGTAAGAGAACAAGGCAGACATTAATGGTGAGTTCCGGCACCTCTTTTTCTAGAAAAATAGCACTGGTTCTGCATTAAGAAAGCCACACTTTTCTATTTAAACAGGGCCAGCTGCAGGGTGTATTACAGATGTACTAGCAGAGAAATGGCAGCATAGGAATCAGTTTTGACACTCTTTTTTTCTTCATTTCTTTGCAGGTGCTAATGTCACAGCGTCATTCTTAAATCAGAGACACGCTGAACCTAATGGCCCCTTGGTATGATTTCGCCCCTTCCCCTTATGTTCATACAATACTGCTGATATGAGTGCATAACAATACAAAGGTGGTTGTAAAGGTAAAGGGACCCCTGACCATTAGGTCCAGTCGTGACCAACTCTAGGGTTGCGGCGCTCATCTCGCTTTATTGGCCGAGGGAGCCGGCGTACAGCTTCCAGGTCATGTGACCAGCATGACTAAGCCGCTTCTGGCAAACCAGAGCAGCACACGGAAACACCGTTTACCTTCCTGCCGGAGCGGTACCTATTTATCTACTTGCACTTTGGCGTGCTTTCAAACTGCTAGGTTGGCAGGAGCAGGGACCGAACAACAGGAGCTCACCCCGTCTAGGGGATTCGAACCACCGACCTTCTGATCGGCAAGTCCTAGGCTCTGTGGTTTAACCCACAGTGCCACCCGCGTCCCTAAAGGCGGTTGTAGTAAGTTGTTATTAGTAATGGGTTGAATTGAAGTACCGTAGGGTATACTAGATGCATAGACATATTTAAGTATTTTGTTATTCTTTTAAATGCCAAAAAAAAACTTGTTACGGACAAAATACAAGGCAGCAGGGATAATAAACTGAGGGAGTTCAACATACATAGATGGGGAAAGTTTATGGTGGATGAGGAAGAACTGCACTTCAAACAACCAACCAACCAACCAACCAACCAACCAACCAACCGCAAAGCTTAATGCATGGGATTCTTTTGTATCTTCAGCTTGAGGTAATCTTGGGTCCCATTTGTCCAAATGTTGGGCAGTTGGGTAACTGGTTCAAGTAGTCTGAGAAAGCAGGGGCTTGCTTAATGGGTGGGTGGTATCACCCATGGAAACGGATGAAGCGGCAAGCAGCGATCAGAAGTTGAATTCCTTCATCTCACGACATCAAAGTCCCAACTCCTTGTCGCAAGAAAGAGCCAACTAATATTCAGATTCTGCGCGGTCCAGTGAGATACTGCCGACATATCCAGGGTGGAATGGAGTGGCCGTTGTCAGAGTTTGGGATCAACAGGGATGACTTCTTCAGATGACCATCTAGAGCCAATGGAGTATGTGACTTGGACTAGGGAAACCTAGGTTCAAATGCTTGCTCCGCCATGAAGATCACTAGGTGATCCTAAGCCAAGCACAGTTCTGTACCTAGGCTGCTATTGTTTGGGTCAGGGTTTCCCTCTCTTGGGTCTCCAGCTGTTTTGGGACTGCAACTCCCATCATCCCTAGCTAGCAGGACCAGTGGTCAGAGATGATGGGAACTGTAGTTAGCGTTGCCTGCATTTGCTAGTAGAAATATACATCTGAAGAAATACAGGTCAGAGAGTCTAACAGCTTAATATAGAGGGGATGGAGCACTATTTTGCTATTGCTATTTTAAACCATTGGGAACTAGAAACCCATGTCAATTTACTGCCAATCATCCTGCCGCAGACCAGTTGATCCTGATCTGCTTACATCTCACTACCCCTTCCTTTCCCCTTTGGTCTTGTAAGAAAGGCAGGAAGCGACTGATAAATGGTGGTGATAAATATGAACCAAACCACAGGCTATGTAGGAAGCACAAACACATCCTCTTCATATGGTCATTGGTCAGATCTTTAATATTAGCAAGTTTTCTTTGCTCATTACCACTAGTGGTAACATGCCACATTGTGTCAGTTGCAGCCAACAATGTAAGAAAAGGCACAGCAGTTGTGGAAGAAATGTGAAGGGAACTTAATAATCTTTAGTATCACCCTAACTAAAAGCATTTTGCGCTTGTGCTAGCAGTACACATGAAAAGGATCTAGGGGTCTTAGTAGAACACAAGCTTAACATGAGTCAACAGTGTGATGCAGCAGCAAAAGAAGCTAATGCTCTTCTCGGCTGCATCAACAGAAGTATAGTGTCCAGATCAAGGGAATGTTGTTGTTGTTTAGTCCTTTTGTCGTGTCCGACTCTTCGTGACCCCATGGACCAGAGCACGCAGAGGCAGATCAAGGGAATAGTACACTCTATTCTGCCTTGGTCAGACCACACCTGGAATACTGTGTCCAGTTCTGGGCACCACAATTTAAGAAGGATATTGACAAGCTGGAATGTGTGCAGAGGAGGGCGACCAAGATGATCAGAGGTCTGGAAACCAAGCCTTATGAGGAATGGTTGAAGGAGCTGGGTATGTTTAGCCTGGAAAAGAGGAAACCAAGAGGAGATGATAGCCAGCTTCAAATATCTGAAAGACTGTCACATGGAAGATGGAGCAGGTTTGTTTTCCCCTGCTCTGGAGGGTAGGATTCAAACCAATGGTTTCAAGTTACAAGAAAGGAGATTCTGACATCGGGAAGAACTTTCTGACAGTAAGAGCTGCTTGACTGTGGAACAGACTCCCTCCGGAGGTTGTGAACTCTCCTTCCTTGGAGGTTTTTAAGCAGAGATTGATGCTCATTTGTCATGGATGCTTTCGTTGGGATTTATGAATTGCAGGGGTTGGACTAGATGACCCATGGGGTCCCTTCCACCTATACAATTCTATGATTCTAACATGATGGTGGTACCTACATTGGCAGAATCTATTTTATGTACCGTGGGTTGGGTTCGCTCAAAGATGTTGATCTGGAAAACACGTACAAAAGCTTCTCTTTCTGTTGAGTAGCTTGAATGTGGTTAAAAAAAAAAAGCTTTTATCACCGACACACTATTGCTTAGATGTCTTTTTGATTTTTTTAAATTCTTTTTTTCTCATTCTACAATGCAATGTAATTTTTTAAAAATTAAATAAGAGCAGGATAGATTTTGTTAGCTGCTTTTTACTGCATGAGCTATATAATTTCCCTTAAATGCAAAACTTCTTCCATTGTTTTATTTCTTCTTTCAGGTCAATTCTGAGTTCTACACTGGCTGGTTGGATCATTGGGGCCACCGTCATTCCGTTATATCATCATCACTTGTAGCTAAGACTCTTAGTGAAATTCTGGCACATGGAGGAAATGTTAACATGTAAGTTCATCAACATCTATTTAAATGAGAGCTTGGGTTTTTAGTACAGCATCTTTGACTGCCTATTTGCCTCTCTTTTCAGGTATATGTTTATAGGAGGAACTAATTTTGGTTATTGGAATGGTAAGAAGTGTGTGTTGTGTGTGTGCGAGCACTTATTTTTTTTATAATCACAATAGCAAGTTTTTATTTTATTAAGCTGTTTTGGGTTATCTCAAGTACTGGATTATTTTTTAATCTTTGAAATAAAGGAAAAAGGATTTGAGGATGCTAACTCAGAAGGCAAAACAGGACCTACCGTATTTTTCGCTCTATAAGACGCACCAGACCACAAGACGCACCTAGTTTTTGGAGGACGAAAACAAGAAAAAAAATATTCTGAATCTCAGAAGCCAGAACAGCAAGAGGAATCGTTGAGCAGTGAAAGCAGCAATCCCTCTTGCTGTTCTGGCTACTGGGATAGCTGCACAGCCTGCATTCGCTCCATAAGACGCACACACATTTCCCCTTACTTTTTAGGAGGGGAAAAGTGAGTCTTATAGAGCAAAAAATACGGTACTTTTCTCCCTTCCTTGAAACAGGGAGCAAGGAAACATTATATGCTAAAGTGGTAGAAGGAGGTCTTACCATATAGTGGGTCATCATAGCCTCATGGCCTACTTTCAGTAATACAGTATGGGTCAGATAAAACAGAGGAATAGCCAGACAAGTGAGACGGCTGTATTTATTGCCAGCTTAATTTATGACAGTGGCTTGGGAGAAAGAGGTCCTTCAGATTTACATTCAGCCTCTGAATACTTGGGTCATAGTTTAGCCTTTCCATACTGGAAAAGCCAGCAGCGTCCACTGTTGGAAGACAAGACAGCGATGCATATGCGCCACCTTGGAAATGTAGGAATGCAGCTGATGTCCCTAAATTTGCACATCTGTTTTATTAGGCAATACAGATGTTTGGGCTTGAGAAAAACAAGCCTGCTTTGGGATAGTTTTGAGAAGAGCAAATGTATTGTTGGGAGCCGCCCAGAGTGGCTGGGGCAACCCAATCAGATGGGCAGCATATAAATAATAATAATAACATTATTATTATACTTCCTCCTGTGTTCATTTTCCTCCCTGCAGGAGCCAACATGCCTTATGCAGCACAGCCTACTAGCTATGATTACGACGCCCCGCTGAGTGAAGCCGGAGATCTCACGAAGAAGTACTTTGCTATTAGGGAAGTCATCGCCATGGTGAGTTTCTCCCAAAGCATCACCAAAGTATCTATTCCTGCATTAGCCTTGGCTTTCATTGTGTCACAAGGGCTGAAAATGATGGCTCCTGCTTGATGTTTTGAACTCTGTGGCGTCCAGATTCAGTGGAGCAGGAATTCCCAGATTTGATTACACATCTGAGAGTTACCCTTGGAACGTAGTCTAATTTTACCAATTAATTTTTATTGGTTTTCCAAATTTTCCGCAAATCCATAACAAATTGAGCAAATTTAATGCAACTTTTTCAAAAAACAACTCCTCACCCCTTCTTGGATGTGCCCATAATTAACCCTTATTGCTGCTTATATTTCATAGTTATCTTTACTTCATATTCCTTTTTTTTCTTTTGTCCTTATCCATCAGCTATCTGTTTGTTAATTCCTGCTCGTACCTTAGTTAACATTTCCAATATTATCAAGTGAGGATTACGCCTCCATTTTTTATTTATTTATTTTTTTATAATAATATTTATTGAAAGTTTTAAACAGTTAATAAGCAAAGATAAACATACAAAACAAAAGAGAAAGCATAAGATAAAGAAAGAAATAGAAAAAGAAAAATAACATCACCTATCTCAAATCAAATTGTCGTAACTTTTTGAACCTCCTCACATCTCCCGTACCTGCGTTCCCAATTTATAAATTTATAAACAGCAATTTATCGCCTTATTTCAATACTTATATTGTAATTTTCAAATATTATGTCAAATTTAATTCTTTTTTCTTAAATATCTCTTATTCTCATATTTCTTACAGTTTAATTATTGGTACCATGTCCTTTTCTATCCTGCATCCTCTTAACATTCATACAGCTTATAATGTTTTTGCAAATAATCCTTAAACTTTTTCCAGTCCTCTTCCACTGTCTCTTCTCCCAAGTCTCGAATTCTGCCAGTCATTTCTGCCAGTTCCATATAGTCTATCAGTTTACGCCTCCATTTTTTAATCCACAGTTCATTAATATTTATTTCTGAAATAAAACTTTCAATTCCCTCCATCTGTGCATATAAACACCTAATAATCCCCCCTCTGTAATTGTTTTCCGTTTGATTCTTAGCTGCCCGGATCTTCATTACTGTACAGTCCATGTAGCTCTTCATAACTATTGTCATTTGTTTTTGGTTTTATAGTTTTGGGGTTGGGTTTTCAAGGACAACCATCTTGCTCGGCATGCATTCCCACAGGTGGGGTCTTAACAACCAGCCCATAAGATCAGGGAGAGGTATAGATGGAACATAGTCTAACGGCCAACATCCCCCTTTTGTATGGGATTTTGTGTGGACTGGGTTGAATACCCTTGCCAAACTCAATACAGCCCACAGTCTATAACTTTACCTACTCCTTTGTGGCTTAGTGTGCAAGAGGACCGTACTGAGAAGTCATATGTTATCTAATCCATATTGTTTTTAATGCCATGTAGAGCAAATGTCACTGCCTGAGGCTCGTACAGACAATAAATGCAGTCTACTGGAGAGTTCTTTTGCAGTGCTCCCATTTCTTTCAGTAGCGTTTGTGGCGTTTGCCCATCGTTTTGAAAATGTCTGTGCAGGGGGAGAGAAAGGGTTAATAGGTAGACCAATAGAAAAGCCAGAGGCGGAGCCTACCTGTTTATAAAAGGGCTTAGCCCGAGGTTGGTTTTAGTTGGTTGGTTGGTTGGTTGGGAAAAGGCAGTTGGGAAAACAGTTGGCAGACAGTTGGAATTAGAGAGACAGTTAGTGCAGTTGGTTCTTGGGTGAGGGGAGGTAGAAGAGTTAGAGACAGAATAAAACAAGGCTAAGAGGGTAAAGAGTAACAACGTTTTGAATGCAGTTAAAATTTATTTGTGTTTGCAATAAATTGCACTCTTATTTGTTAACTTAAGAACCTGACTGAGACTAAGTGATTTACCGGGGAGGACCTGGTTGGTGGCAGCGGATTAGTAGTGTACGGGTCAATAGTCCGTGAGACGACCGGGGGCTCCGTACGAACGCCACAGAGTTGTGCAGGACGGAAGCCAGTTGTGCTTCTGAAAAACTGCATGTGGGCGACCACCACTTCTCAGCTGAGGGGACCCCGCTTCCCAGCTATTTGACCTTTCCCACGACGCTGAGCAGGGCAGATCGGCCGCAGCGAACAAAAGCAAATCCTTCTGAGTCCTAAAGAAAACTAGAAACCAAGCGAAGCAGAGGAAAACCCCAAAGGAAACAGGCAAAAAGGTCCAGCGAGGAGGCGAAAGAGGGAAGCCCCTCAGCTGTGCCGCAGTTTAAATCTCCCGCAGTCACGCCCCCTGCCGGTACTGATTGGCCAATGGGGGGCATGACGCAGCTGGGGCTCAGCGCGAGGGGGGCATCACCACTCTACCCCCTAGCTGGAACACTGTGAGGACCCGGGTGCCCGGCCGCTGCACCACCCCCGGGGAAGGTGAGAAAACTTCCCAAAGGATTGCGCCCCAACCATTTAACTGTGCCAGAAGCAGAAACTGGTGAGAAATTCAAATCGCCAACACCACAAACCAAACAAGCCCCAGGAGCATTTGTGCAGTGGCTTCAAAGCAGTGTCTCTTCAATAACATGATGCATGTGCCTGTGGAATGAGGCAGTTGGTTCTTTAAATCACAAAGCTTGCGTTTTTAAAATTTTAATTGCTTGTTCCTGTTTTAGTACAAGACAATACCACAGGGCCCTATTCCTCCATCGACCCCCAAGTTTGCCTATGGAGAAGTTCCGCTGAAAAAGGTAGGTGGATATTGTATATTGTATAGTAGATTAATATGCCTAGGGCGGGCGCTTCTGCCTTGTGTTTATTAAGGACAATTTTTGCAAAAGGCTAAAATACCCATTTATAATATAATAATAATAAATTAGTATTTGTATGTCACCCATCTGACTGGGTGGCTTCCAACAAATTAAAACGCCAAACACAGAAAAACATCAAACATTAAAAACTTCCTCAGCAATTTTGTAAATGTGATGGGGGGTTGGGGTGGGGAAAGCACACCTCTAAGTTGGGGGTTTGATTTTGAGCTCGGAAATGGGTATTTGTAGCTTTGTGACTGAAGCTGAGGAAATTCATTTAAGCTGTTCCTTATGGTGACATTTGCAACGTATTAGTTGAGAAATACTGCCGAATGTTCCATTAGGTGGAGCAATTTCTGGGAAATCCGGTTCTTGGAAGGAAGCATGTCATCAAGATCGTAGAACCATAAGAAAGTACACCTATGCTATGAGGGTGGCTATAAAGTTGATCGTAAAAATTGGGGTGCTTTTATGATAAGCAGACTTTCTCACCATACACATAGTTGCTATGTTAATGTGGGATGGAACTGGCTGGTGATAGGCAGTTGCACTGAATCTGCGTGAGAACAAAAAGAGGAGAGCAGCAATAAGCAAATGGCTTAACTTTCTCTTCTTTCTCCCACGCAGTGTTAATAGATGGCAGTGTTAATAGTTCTATTTTTGACAATTATTTTTTTAAATAAAAACCAACCCCACAATGTTATGTATTTTGCTGTATTGCCTCTCTGAGCCCAGCTTTGGCTGGGGAAGGCAGGATATAAATAAAAAATTATTATTATTATTATAGGTGGGGACCGTAAGGGATCTTCTGAACGACCTTTCACCATCAGGACCAATTAAAAGCACCTACCCTTTGACATTTGTTCAAGTGAAGCAGGTAAAAGTTGGTCGTGAAAGAGTTTTGAGTTAGCATTTTGCACATTGTGTGTAATTGTCACCCCCCCAACAGTTACCTAACAGTTAGGTAAGCACTAATACAAACTTCAAAAGCGAGTATGACTCACCTAATCTTAACCAAAATAATTGAACGTTCAGTAGCTAATGTATCTATTTTGATTTTTAAGCTTGAATTCTTGAAACCCTTGCATGAAATACATAGCAATGTTTAAGTTAGAGGTATTTGTAATCTGATTCTGACCTTTCAGAAGTAACACTTTCTTCTCATGGCTTTCTCCCCACTTTCTTCTTCAAGTACGTTGGGTATGTCTTATACAGAACTAAGCTACCAAGAAACTGTACTGAAGAACCACTGTATTCAACACTTAATGGAATTCATGATCGCGCTTATGTCGTTGTGGACGGGGTAAGCGAAGAACTTCCAACTTTCTTGTTTACCTCAGCGATGCTAGATAACTGTGGCTCAGGGTTTCCCAAACTTAGGTCGCCATCTGTTTTTGGACTACAGTTCCCATCATCCTTGATCACTGGTCCTGCTAGCCAGAGATGATGAGAATTGTAGTCCAAAAACAGCTGGAGACCCAAGTTTGGGAAACTGCTGTAGTTGTTTCTTCGGCTTGAGTTTTGTTTTGTTTTGTTTGTATGATCGAGAGTTTGTTTCCCACTGTGAGTGTCCCACACCAGTCCATCTTGATAAGCAGGATATGCCAAAAGAACAAGCCTATGTCTCTGTCAGGAGCTCGGCCTACACTCGAGTAGGACCCTGGCAGAGACAAATGCCCGACTGGCATGTTCTCTCCCTCCTGGTCGATCGTTCGGGAGCTTCAAAAGTTTTCTTCTGCCTGAACATCACAGCGACTGATGCCAACCGACATGGGCACACTTAGGGATCTGTGGAGTCTGCGCAGCTTGCGTGACAGACCTCAGCAACTCAGCATTTTGGCTAATCTACTTTATTTACATACAAACACACACGGAGCACTGCAACCTGGCTCCCTCTCTCTCTAGCATCAGACAGCAAAGAGAAAAGAACAGTCACACTTCATGAAACACAAAAAATTCCTTCCAGTAGCACCTTAAAGACCAACTAAGTTAGTTCTTGGTATGAGCTTTCGTGTGCATGCACACTTCTTCAGATACACTGAAACAGAAGTTGCCAGATCCTTCTATATAATATATCCTTCTATATATACTGTGTTCATGGAACACAGTAACACAAACATCCTGTCTCCGTCACTTCCCACTCTGTGGAGTCAAAACACATACCGTCATGTGACAGACAACAATCCCATGAATGCAACCATGGAGCAGGAATTCTAACAGTCTCCCTCTGTGAGTTGAAGCTGCCGAGGTGGCAGAATGTTGCCAGCGCAGCTGTGCTCTGCTTCTGAGGGGCTGTGAGCACCTTGAGAAGCACAGCATGAGAAATATACACCCCAGCTCTCCTCTCCAGCTTGGAGCTAGAGAGGCAGTGTGGGTGGAAGTGAGTTTCCCCCCGCAGTAGAGGTTGTGTTTTGGAGGTGGTTAGTGGGCCTTCAAAATACCATGCCACTTCAGAGGTACTTCAGAAATGCAGTATTGCAGCATGAACGATCCCCCTGCCCTTCTCTCTAGGTCCAGACCTCTGCTTAAAAGTGCATCACAAGGTCAGGACCAAAACACCATCCCTTGAGAACGAGTTAGGTAGAACGAGTTAGGTTCTTTTGAGCACAATGCCCGCCAACATTTGAAGGCACCTGCGTCTCATGGTCGGCTGGGGCGCTTACCTGGCCCCTTGTCACTAGCATCACTGCAGTGTGTCTGGAAGGTGAGGGACAAGATCAGTGTGTTTCAAACGCACTGTTGGCATTTTCACCACACAGACCTCAATGCCACCTTGCACCTTTTCCTCTTGGTAAGGCGCAGCAATGCTCGTGATAAGAGGTCAGGTACATTGTACGTGCACACAGCAGAGGTCTGCCTCTCTCATGTGCACATGAGTATATCTCTCATGAGTATATCTCATCAGCTGGTGGCTTAAATTGCAATTTGTGAACCATCTCCATTGAAAAGTATTGCATTCCAAGTGATGTTAACTTGAGAGTTTTGTCTCCAGCGTTGGAGATGTGAAGTCTGATTCATGCGTACAAATAATTACTCTGATGATGCAGCTACTGAGCGATGTACGAACTCCTTGTCAGATATATTCAAATACCTTTTAGGTTTCAGATGGTTAAATACTAGTGAGGGCGACGTGCTGCAGCCCATTTTGTTCCACATTACCATGTGCACAGTAAAATGAAGAGGCATAAAGACTCACTCTGTATTTGTCTGCTTTGGCTTGCCTACCACAATTCATAATAAAAACCCATGTGGAATAAGGTTGCCAGAAGAGCCAAAAACATAACCAGGATTTTGAGCTAGCATAAACTTAGATTTTGAAAATTTGCATTGTTGAACAATTTCCAGGCTCGTTGCATAACCATGCAAATCCGTACTATGTGTTGACTGCAAACTATTGACCTCAGAGCAGCAAAAATGTTTTTACTCCATCTCTTCAAAGACTCGAGGCAGCGAAGAAGAAATAAAGCCTAAAGTCACACAGCCCAAATACCAGCCAATAGCATTGAGCTTAAAATATTTTATCCACACAGTATTACTTCTGTTGTATGCAGATACCCTCATAAACAGATAAATTTTGCACCTGCTTCTCAAAGCTTAGAGGGGTGCATTTAAAGAATATTTTATCAGAGGTGGTTTTTTCACTGCCATGGGGTAAAGCTGTCCTCTTCAGTGGCAATGTTCTCACGTCACAGCTCGCCTGCTTTGCTTCTCCTCCTGAAATGTGGGTGGTTGGGGGCACACAATCACTGGCTTATAATTGCGGCTGAAACCAGAATCCATGTTTTGGTTGACTCCAGAAAAACCACAATGGTTAGCCAAGGTTTGTTCTTTGCTTATCAGTTGTGATTTGTTTGAGTGAAACAAAGCACAATTCCTGCATTTGACGTAGCAGAAGGACAGGGATCGCGCTTTGCTTCCTTTGGGGAAGAACAGAACAGCATGAAGGACAAACCATGGTTTATTGTGACCTGCAAATTGAGCTGATAACAAAGTTGTAGCCTTGCACATCAAAGGCACACAAAGCAGATAATCTGTGGTTTGCCGTCATGGCTAGAAGTGAGTTTTCAAGCTCGTTGAGCCTAGCCATCATTAACGTTGGCATCAGTGCCAATTTAGTGTGGCACCATGGTTGGCTCTGAAAATGGAAATGGAGTTCAGATGGAGGGGAAAGGAAGGCACGTGTAAGCCTGGGAAGTGCTCCTCCTCCTCATATTCTAAGAATGGTTGAAAAAGTTATGTCTGCACTGGGCCTTGGAAGACCATGTACAGTAGTGGAGTGGGAGAAGATATTGGGGGAATTTAAGCACATAATTACATGATATACTAGGGATAGTATCTAAAAGGGCTGGGTGAAGCAACTCTCTAGCTTGTGATTCATTTTGACGTGATTCCATCTAAGGGGTTCACTCTCACGCTACATATCACCTGCGTGTTTAACTTTTTTTGCAGACGGGGAAAAGATACCATCAAGAAAATAATGAATTGTTTCAACACTTACTTGACTACATTACAAATCTTACAAGCTTTAAATCAGCCATTTAGACTTCCTGACCACAGAGGGTGGGGAAATTTTAAACTTCACGGGAACTGGTTGTTCTGTCATCAGGGAGGAAAAAACCCTGAAATGTCTTGAATCACTTTGAATGAGAATTACGTAGTTCAGCTGATTCAAATTATGAGTTAACACAGATGGGGGAAATTGAATTCTTACTAAATCCCCTTGCAAAAATACAGAAAAAAAATCTAAAAATAGGGACTTTGTAAAATGCATTAAAGTTGTTTGTGTTCCGTACCCTGTTTCAGGTTTAGATTTTAAGTATTGATATTATTTGTGCAGATTCCTCAGGGAGTTCTCGAAAGAAGCCGTATCGTAGCGCTAAATATAACTGGGAGCGCTGGAGCGCATTTGGATTTGCTGGTGGAAAACATGGGCCGAGTAAATTTTGGAAGATACAACAATGACTTCAAGGTACATCTCCGTCTTCCTTAAATATACAGCAAAATGTAACATAGCCCATGAATCGCTTTTCGAGGGTAGAATAGGTGACTTTGTGCTAATGCAAGCAAAACCTTTACATGCAATGTATTATAATTAATTAATTAGTTCAATTTATATACTGTCCTATACCCACAGGTCTCAGGGGTATTGAAAGGAAAGATCCTTTTGAAAGGGGCCTCCCTTTAGAAAGTGGGAGTGCTGCTTGCGTAGTTTGGGCTTCTCTGTGGACTTGCTGGGGTGGTGCAAAAGGCTTCCTGTAGAAATATACATTTATCTATATATTGAGATCAGCCACAAGACACAGTATGGACCTTTGCCCTTCTTCTCCACTCTAATGATTGTAAAATGGGAGGTTGTGCTCTTCCCACTGTTGTTACTGACTCGCTGCAGAATAATTTTCTACCTCTGCGCTCCTTAATGCCACTCTTTAGGGAACATTATGAACCCATGTTGATTTGAAGACCGCCTAAGAGCGAGCTGCCTCAAGGATTCCTCTTAGCGTCAGCTCACACGTGCTTATTTTCCGCACGCGATCTCTCGCATATGTGACATTGTCTGCTTTGCCACGAGCAAGTAGCCTGCTGGTGCATACTGATGAATGGTCCTCATTTTGTTCATCCCTGCTTTGAGCCAAGGTCTGATTGGTAAATCATGGCTTATTTGGAAGAAAGGAACCACAAATGCTGGTTGGCTTGCCACATTAAGCCCAGGGTTCATAGTGTGTTGCTCCCAGCTCAACAATGGGAGCACAGAAGAAGTGCTGCTCATTCATACTGAGGAACAGTTTATGGGTTATTGAGACATGTGAGAGCTGTAAATGTGTGTGAAGGCTGCCTTTGTTTGTTTGTTGTTTATTACTTACACCTATAGTCCACCCTTCATCCAACGGTTCCAGGGCAGGTTAGAAAAATACCACAATAAAAAACCCAGCTTACATTATAATCAAAACATGAAACCACAAAACCTCTGTGTGGATGTATGTAGCTTTGCAGTGGCCATTAGCCCAATTTGTAATTGTGGCCGCATTTCCCCGCAAAAAGCAATTACAAACCTAGACAGCATCTTAAAAATCAGAGACATCACCTTGCCAATAAAGGTCCGTATAGTTAAAGCTATGGTTTTCCCAGTAGTATGGAAGTGAAAGCTGGACCATAAAGAAGGCTGATCGCTGAAGAATTGATGCTTTTGAATTATGATGCTGGGGGAGACTCTTGAGAGTCCCATGGACTGCAAAAAAACCAGGGCATGTCATGAATTTTTGTGACATAGCGCGAGCCTATGGAAGTGAGAGCTGGACCATAAAGAAGGCTGATCGCCGAAGAATTGATGCTTTTGAATTACGGTGCTGGAGGAGACTCTTGAGAGTCCCATGGACTGCAAGAAGATCAAACCTATCCATTCTTAAGGAAATCAGCCCTGAGTGCTCACTGGAAGGACAGATCCTGAAGCTGAGGCTCCAAGACTTTGGCCACCTCAGGAGAAAAGAAGACTCCCTGGAAAAGACCCTGATGTTGGGAAAGATGGAGGGCACAAGGAGAAGGGGATGACAGAGAATGAGATGGTTGGATGGTGTTCTCAAAGCTACCAGCATGAGTTTGACCAAACTACGGGAGGCAGTGGAGGACAGAAGTGCCTGGCGTGCTCTGGTCCATGGGGTCACGAAGAGTTGGACACGACTAAATGACTAAACAACAACAACAACATCACCAGTTTAATTCTATAGAGCAGGGTTTCCCAAACCTGGGTCTCCAGCTGCTTTTGGACCACAATTCCCATCCTACCCAACCATTGGTGCTGCTAGCTAGAATGATGGGAGTTGCAGTCCAAAAACAGCTGGAGACCCAAGTTTGGAAAACCCTGGTGTAAAGCAGGGATGGGAACCTGTGGCCCTCCAGGTGATGTTGCAGTCGAACATCCCCAGCCAGCATTACCAATGGTCATTTGAAGCCACCACAGATTCCACTTCCCTTGTGGAAGGTAAAAAGGTAGAGGACCCCTGAACGGTCAAGTCCAGCCAAAGGCGATTATGGGGTTGCGGTGCTCATCTCGCTTTCAGGCCAAGGGAGCAATGTTTGTCCACAGACAGCTTTCCGGGTTATGTGGCCAGCGTGACTAAACCGCTTCTGGTGCAACGAGACACCGTGACGGAAACCAGAGCACACGGAAACACTGTTTACCTTCCCGCCACAGCGATACCTCTTTAACTACTTGCACTGGTGTGCTTTCGAACTGCTAGGTTGGCAGGAGCTGAGACAGAGCAACAGGAGCTCACCCCATCGTGGGGATTCGAACCGCCAACCTTCTGACCGGCAAGCGCAAGAGGCTCGGTGGTTTAGACCACAGCGTCACCTGCGCCCATTGTGTAAAGCCTGTCTCGCACTGTGGTTTCTCTTTAAGAACCCATATGCCAGAGGGGTCTGATGCAGAAAATCAAAATATCTGAACTGGTCTTTAGTTTAGTGAAGGGAAGTGGGGCAGTCAAATGCAAAAGAGGACAGGTTTCCTGTGCCTGATACATTCCCTCTTCTACGTCCCATCAAAGGTGAATTCTTTTGCATCTGGAAGTTACCTTTGGTGCTTCATTTCAGAAAGCCCCCTATGATGTTACAATGTGTTGCAGTGGAATTTTTTTTCCAATCTATTATAGTTTTTTAAAAGAGGTTTAAATAGAAGTTCTTTAGTGTCTAAAACTTGCATACAGGATGTGGAAACTTGTGCATGTGAAGAATTATGTATCATCATGTTTAAAGGTGAGATCAAATCCTAGATAAATTTTATCTTGCAAAACATCTCTAAAAATGGAGCTTCAGAAAGGAAGTTCTCAGGTACAGAGCTGAGAGCTTTAGAACTTGGTTCTTCTCTTTTTAGATCTTCTAGCAGGTCACTTTCGAATGTTCATCTTGACACCTGTATTTGCTATTCAAATAAAGCAGCTTCTGAGTTTGTGATACTGACTTCTGGTTTAATTTGCTCTTAAAAGTGAAATGAGGTTGCCACAAGTTTGAGAAAGGTTGATGAAATATAGCCCTGGTGTTTTGCTGAATGGCAAAAAGAGGTGTTTTGTTGCAATTCTTGTTGAATGGCAAAAAAGAGGAAGATCTGCTTATGTGACAAACATGTATTAGCATGCCATTTCATAGAATCATAGAGTTGGAAGAGACCACAAGGGCCATTGAGCCCAACCCCCTGCCAAGCAGGAAACACCATCAGAGCACTCCTGACATATGGTTCTCAAGCCTCTGCTTAAAGACCTCCAAAGAAGGAGACTCCACCACACTCCTTGGCAGCAAATTCCACTGTCAAACAGCTCTTACTGTCAGGAAGTTCTTCCTAATGTTTAGGTGGAATCTTCTTTCTTGTAGTTTGGATCCATTGCTCCGTGTCCGCTTCTCTGGAGCAGCAGAAAACAACCTTTCTCCCTCCTCTATATGACATCCTTTTATATATTTGAACATGGCTATCATATCACCCATTAACCTCCTCTTCTCCAGGCTAAACATGCCCAGCTCCCTTAGCCGTTCCTCATAAGGCATCGTTTCCAGGCCTTTGACCATTTTGGTTGCCCTCCTCTGGACACGTTCCAGTTTGTCAGTGTCCTTCTTGAACTGTGGTGCCCAGAACTGGACACAGTACTCCAGGTGAGGTCTGACCAGAGCAGAATACAGTGGCACTATTACTTCCCTTGATCTAGATGCTATACTCCTATTGATGCAGCCCAGAATTGCATTGGCTTTTTTAGCTGCCGCGTCACACTTGTTGGCTCATGTCAAGTTTGTGATCAACCAAGACTCCTAGATCCTTTGGGTCCAGCAAGAGAGTGTTTGGTCTGACACAGCTTTTGGATAGTGTTACTTCTTAGATTCTACATCTATTTCCTGGAGCAAACACAGGAATTCATTGCTGGGACTAGCTTTTCAGTAAAATTTCAGTAGAATTTCACTGGTTGTGTAGTGCTTTTAGCTGATGATAGCATTCAGACCTGTAAAGTTCTGAAGAATAGCAATAATTAGCTGGAAAATAACTTTGTAAGCACACTGCAAAATTGAAGTAACTTGTAGTTTGTTCTAAAGGTTCCCTAGGATGACTGTTTCTGTTTTTTAGTGTATAATTTGAGTTCCCAGTTTAGAAACCCCTCATGAAGTACAAAACAACAACAACACAGAAACAGCACAACGTAAGGCCGATTAAAACAAGACTTTTTATTGAATGAAGTGATTTCTCCTTTTTAAATGTTATTTTATAGCCAACACTAACAACAGCGAGAATCTTTTTAAAGGCTCATTTCTGCTTTCCTCTCTCTGATTGTATTTATGACCAATCTGTTTGCAGGGCTTGGTTTCGAATTTAACTCTGGGCAATGAGACACTTGCCGACTGGGAGATATACCCCCTGGACATAGACACAGCCGTGAGCCAGGGTCTTAAGAACAAGAGGTCTGGTGGAAATGGATCAAGCAATGAAGAACCTTCTTTTTATACTGGCAGTTTTTCTATTCCTAGCGGAATCCCTGACTTACCTCAGGATACTTATATTGCATTTCCTGGGTGGACAAAGGTACTTTTCCCTCCCTTTCTTTCATGAAAAGTTCAGTAAATATGGTTGCTAACTTCAAGGCTCTGTTACTTAACGAAAAGTTCTTAAAAGATACAGTGAGAGAGAGGCTTTGAGTCAGAGTTTGTTGACAGAGCTGATCAGGGCCAGACCTTCCATTGGGCAAACTGGAGTGACTGCTTCAGGTGTGGCAAAGGGGCATCCCTCCCGGCTCTCCAGTTGCCTTGTCTGGCTTTCTCTGGCCCTTCTGCCTATCTGCCTTGAAGTGAGACTCCCCACCTCCTCCCCCCTTGCCAAGGGGGTCCGCAAAGTCAGACATTCAGGGTGGGATAGCTGCAGAAGTGCCTGTGCCACGGTTGCACTTGGCCGCAGCAGCTAATGATGCCTAAATTGGGCAAAGGGGATTGTTTAAAGTTACAATCATACCTTGGTTTGAGAACGGCTTAGTTGACGAACAAATCAGCTCCCAAACGCTGAAAACCTGGAAGTAAGTGTTCCAGTTTTCAAATGCTTTTCAGAAGCTGAACGTCCGACGCGGCTTCTGCTTGAGTGCAGGAAGCTCCTGCAGCCAATCGGAACCCACTCCTTGGTTTTCGAACGTCTCAGGAGTTGAACTGACTCCCGGAACAAATTAAGTTTGAGAACCAAGGTACCACTGTATTGTACAGTGGTACCTTGGGTTAAGAACTTAATTCATTCCAGAGGTCTGTTCTTAACCTGAAACTGTTCTTAACCTGAGGTACCACTTTAACTAATGGGGCCTCCCGCTGTTGCCGCGTGATTTCTGTTCTCATACTGAAGCAAAGTTCTTAACCCGAGGTACTATTTCTGGGTTAGCGGAGTCTGTAACCTGAAGCGTCTGTAACCCAAGGTACTACTGTAATTCCACACTCCCTGCACCCTAATTTTAGGCATTGTCATTATTAAAAGCAGTGCCAACCTTCACCCCCCCACTCCCTGCAGCTAGATATAAAAGCAACACAAAATGAACATCTAAGGCAAGAGGCCTTTCCCTCCAGTTGGGAAAGCTTGTTTTTTTAACAACAACTTTATTCATATGCTGGACCTCTGACTGGGTTGCCCCAGCCACTCTGGGCAGCTTCCAACAAATTAAAGCACCATAAGACATCAAACATTAAAATCTTCCCTGTACAGGGCTGCTTTCGGATGTCTTCTAAAACTCAGAGAGTTGTTTATTTCCTTGACATCTAATGGGAGGAAGTTTCTACTAAGAAGATCCTTTGCTTGGTTCCCTGTAATCTCTTTCCCACAATTGATCCCTGTCAGTGTAATTATTTGAAACCAACAATTTACAAAAGGTTCACAGGGCTTAACTTATTAATTCCTATAAATGAGAACAAATTCTTATTAGAGATGTCCTCCTCTTAAATGTACATCCCAGGGCCCCTTAGATTTGTGGGAGAGGTCCTGGTCTGCCGCTTTTCCGTACAGAGGGCTGTGAAATTTTGGGTCCGCTGTGTAAAATGCTGTACCAACGCTATAAAGTGCAGTCCTGACAAGGGATAGCAGCTTCCGTTACTGCCGATCCGGTAAAAAACTTGAGCTTTAAAGAATTTTTCTCCTGTAGGTAGATTGGCTTTTAAATGGCTGTGTTGTTTTTCTTTTACAGACAGACTGGCTATTCTTATGACTCGTGTATCTGTGGCTTTTATTTTTGCATTTTCTGTAGCGTTGTGTGCCGAATGCATAGCACAGAATGCAGCATACTTTAGCCTTGAATACAGAAATAAAAAACTGGCGCTGCTAAATATTTTCCTCAGAAAACCTCTTCCTGCAGAAGAGAGAGTGGTTCATTTTAAGCCTTGGCAAAGCAAACCACAGCCAGAGATGCTCTTGATAAGGATGTTTCTGAGGCTGAAACCCATTCACACCTTGTGGAAAGTAACTGATAATTATCTCTGCACAGAGCTACACACCTAACAACTCGGCTCTTAAAATGTACAAATTAAATGTTTGGGCAGAGTGGTTTTGGAAAAAAATGTGAGTGCATTTTGCAGAGGTAGATGTGTAGCATAAGTTCATCAGTGGGATACATTTTTAGACCATGCCAAGCATGACTCCATATTTCCTCCCCATTTCTCATTTTACCTAATTTTTGGTCTGAGGCAGTTATGCTGCAGGCTTGAATACTGATGCCTAAAGATGGAATGGACAAAGCTATTCTGCAAGCATTCATTATAGCAGAGCCCTTTTAATGCCACACTTGTGTCAGTGCAGTGCAAAATGAATTTTTAAAGAGAGCACTGAATTCTCAGTTAAGGATGTCAGGTTTGCCAAATTTCCGGAGTCAGTTTCTTCTAATGGTTTGTTTCTTTGCAGGGACAAATCTGGATCAATGGCTTTAACTTGGGACGCTATTGGCCAACCCGTGGACCTCAACTTACACTGTTTGTTCCAAGCAACATCCTTGTTTCATCCTTTCTAAACAACGTTACAGTTCTGGAGTTGGAGAAGTCTCCATGTGGCGCTCAGAAGTGTTTTGTAGAGTTTGTAGACAAACCTGTTCTCAATGCAACTCTTCACTATGAAAGCAGTACCGAGAAACTGTTCACTAAAGATTTATGGCCGAACCATAGATGATTGTATTAGAATGCCTCTTTACTTAGTTTATTCTGCAGATCCTTCATTTCGAATGCTATTGGTTGTGGGGGGGTGGAAATCAGTGTTTTTAAAATCAGTGGAAAGTGTCAAATTTAATTCATTATTTTGAAAGTGAAAATAATGCCTTTTTTATCTGCAACAAAAAAAATTATTCCTATGCATGCCAAAGGGTTTCAACAAACAAACAGGCAATCAGTTTGTTTAATAAATTGTTGAACACGTATCAGAATCAGATCTTTTTTCCTTATGAAATTTGGGGTGCTGCAATTTTACCTATTGCCTTTGCAGTCAGACCACTAATGCTTAGATTCATAACTTGATGGAAGTTGTAAAAGGCTGAATGACTTTTGCTACATGAAAGTGAACAAAACATTTTAGGGGCTCATTTGACCACCATTTTGTTTAGGGTTACAATTAATATTTTTTACCAATTTTTCCACATTTGAAAGAATATGCATAAGAAACACTTGGCATTTCATAGGAGTCGGGCTATGGGTGGTGAGCCTTCAACATTTGGGCAGAAGCTGGTTTTAATCACCCAAATTTCAGCATCTTTTTTCCCCCTTTTCTTTTTTTTACTCCTGCCACAAAGTTTGGGCCCCACTTCCAAAACTGAAAATATCATAAAGAGTTATAAAATGGGGAATGCCAACATGGTGGTAATAAATAATAATAATAATAATAATAATAATAATAATAATTATATTATATTATATTATATTATATTATATTATATTATATTATATTATATTATATTATATTATATATACTCTGCCCATCTGGCTGGGTTTCCCCAGCCACTCTGGGCGGCTTCCAATAAAACACTAAAATACAATAACCTATTAAACATTAAAAGCTTCCCTAAACAGGGCTGCCTTCAGATGTCTTCTAAAAGTTTGGTAGTTATTTTTCTCTTTGACATCTGGTGGGAGGGCGTTCCACAGGGTGGGTGCCACTGCCGAGAAGGCCCTCTGCCTGGTTCCCTGTAACTTGGCTTCTCGCAGTGAGGGAACCGCCAGAAGGCCCTCGGCGCTGGACCTCAGTGTCCGGGCAGAACGTAGAAACTATTGCCCTTGGAATAGCTTTCATTGGCACCCCAGACTCCAAGCTCTTGTTTTTTTTTTAAAAAAATAAGTCTGTAGCCCTCCTAGAACAAAACTCATGAAGCAAAATGTGATGGTCCCCCTTCTGTGAAATGAGCCTGCCTCACTTCCACTGAGTGAAGTCAGAGCTGTGATAATGAGTTGTTTGGATACCAGGTTATAGGAATCTCCGGAGTCCTAAAAAGCTGCTGTTTCCTCCTCTGCTTTGATGTACTTTTCCTGCTTATGTCTTTATTTTCTCGTTCTTAGCATCTCTGCCATTTTCCCTCCTGTTTTCATGAGCAACTAGGATTCATCATTTTTGTGGTGGATTTGTCTGAGATCAGTCCCTAGAAGTTATTTTCTGCAAATATCACCACCGAATAAATGTGGGTGGATGTTAAAGGATCCCCCTCGCCCCAAAATGTGAAAGTGAAAACTTTTTGTGTCACTTGCTATGCAGGAGCAAAAGAGCAGACACTCCTTAGGAATTCACTGTATCGTTAACTTACACTACAGTGGTATCCATGTCTACGCAAAAGTAGCTCAATATTTAATGGGTTTAGGGTTTAACAATAAAGCAATGAACAGGGTGGTGATACAATGACTACTGCAATTGATGCAATATAATATCACCAAGGCATCTGTAAACAAACAATAAAGGTCCATAAAAATGGCGAAAATAGTTTCTTTCCCAAATCAGTTTTATCTGAAACAATAGCAATCGCCGTAAATAAAGAGTTCACTTGTAATATGTCAGTGGTTCAGTGCTCATTTCTTCTCTTTCCAAAATAGATTTTATCTTGAACAATTGCAAACACAGTAATGAAGAGTCCATCTACTGTGTTTGCTCTTGTTTAAGAGAAAACTGATTGGGGAAAGAAACTACTTTCGCCATTTTTATGGATGTTTATTGCTTGTTTACGGATAGTTGCCTTGGTGATATTATCTTGTGTTGATTTGGTTTAGGGTTGGCATTGGGTGAAAACAGAGTTCTTGCGCCTTTAACAGCTGTATGGCAGGCAGAAATTCATCATATGAGCCAACCCATCATTTGCGATCATCATCTGAGGTCCTTCTTTGTGTTCCTCATCCTCAAGACGTCTGGAGGGCAGCAACACGAGGACGGGCCTTTTCTGTGGTGGCTCCCTGCTTGTGGAATGCCCTCCCCAGGGAGGCTCGCCTGGCACCTTCGTTACATATCTCTAGGTGCTGGCAAAAGCCTTTCTCTTCTCCCAGGCCTTTGGCTAATTAAATCTACAGCCTTTTGAACTGTGAGGGGGTGGTTGTTTTTGTTTGTTACAATCAATGGTACGCATTTTTGTGTTTTTACATTGTAAACGGCCCTGCGATCCTCAGGTATATAAATTTAATAAATAAATAAAGCCAGGCTACACATTTTCCAATATGGAAGTAGAATTATGGGGGAAACTTTGCCATGACCGCACTGCCTCATGTTGTATTATGTCATGCCTCCCACAGTGGCCATGTCGAGTGGGAGCCATTTTTTGACAGGCGCCCACAGCCCACTGATCCAAAAAGATTGATGGCCCCTCATCTAGTTTCAGAGTACAATGCTGTGCCAATCCGAAGTTTTGAACTTTGTTTTGAAAGTTTAGTATTCATTAGTGTTTAAGTGAGTAGTATATGTGGCTGTGCATCCAGTAAGCATATTTGATACAGTCGTGTGTAAATTGGGGTTTATTTTAGATGGTTCCAGACTGCCTTATTGCCTGACTGTGAAAGAATACCCTTGTCTAGACACCTGTTTCCCTGTTTCCAGAATAAGTCGCTCCATATGTTATCTATCTATCTGTCAAGTGCTGCAACTGAGGTATTAGTTACTGTTCCACACAACAGTGCTCCTCTGTGGCCTTTCAAGTTAAAATTTCCAAAAAAAAGGACACATGAAACCAACTCCAGTATAGGGTCCAGTTCTTGGATCTTGTTCTGAAGCTGATTGTGTGCCTCATTTACCATTTAGACAATACATTTCTTTTCTTTTCTTTTTAGACATTGGCATAGCATAATCTGCTGAAGTCATAATGTGAACCATGGCCCTTAGCAGACAAGCATTGCATGGCCAACATATTGTTGTTTGTGTAACTACCCAGGTGGATTCATAGGGAAACTTGAGTGGTTGTTATGATAACTGCAAATTCCTGGAAGATGCTTTTTCCAATTCATACCAGAATTTCCGAGAGAGGGGGACATTCCCTTTCTTGCCAGCTTATACATTTGCTTAGCTCCGTGCTGGATGGTAAAGATGGCTCCATTTTTGCAGTGCCTTAGCAGTGCTAAAGGGCTCTGGTATGGAAATAACCTCTGTTTCTGTCCTGATAATATCAAAGCGCCTAATCATCATTGCTGCAGGAATTTGTATTGTCCATAATTTGTATTGTCCACTGTTGTTTTTTTTAAAATTTCTGTAACAGCGGTTGGCTTTTCTGGCTTTTATAAGGCGAGTCTTTGCATAATAATAGTAGATCAACACTGAGACAATAAAATATTTTCGTAAGAGTTTCTAGTCTTCTCGTTTGAATTTATCCAAAACGGCAACATAAAATGTGGTGGCTTTCGACAGAATGATTTCCAACCACCCCATAGCAATAATGTTGTGGGGTTATATATATCTATATATATCTATATATATGCAGGTTTTGGTGTCCTCGGGTGTCTTCCCGTGTAAAAGTTGGGGTGTCTAGGCGACGTTTCGACGAGGTCTCACTCGTCATCTTCAGGCTGGTGCTTTCGGCTTCTTGTTACTGGAACAGAGTAACAAGAAGCCGAAAGCACCAGCCTGAAGATGACGAGTGAGACCTCGTCGAAACGTCGCCTAGACACCCCAACTTTTACACGGGAAGACACCCGAGGACACCAAAACCTGCATTCCTGTACCCGTGAAAATCTACGAAAGCAAATATCTATATATATCTATATATATCTTAGAACCAGGCTGCATAAAGTGAGGACACAGGGAATGACCCACTGCACTTTTAAGAAGCCTAAAGTGATTTCCGTTATTCCCTACGATGCAGAGTTTATTTTCCAATAACAGAGATGGACATACCAAGTCCCAGAAAAGTGGTCGCTTAAATCAGTTAAGAATGCACATGCACCTTCCCCAACAGCTAGGGTAATGTTATCAATCCTAGACAACTGCTATAATTGACAAAGGAAGCAACTACAGAAGTCTTTTTTCCTCCCTCTTCTCTGGATATACTGTACAGTGGAAGGAAAACTGAGCATCACTGCTGCCTTTGATTCTCACTGTGTGTCCAGAATCCGGATGGACAGAATCACTTTTAATGAACTGAGCAACTGGCTAGAATATTGCCTGCGTGGTCTTTCCAAGCTAAACTAGAGACATAACAGTGTGAACCTAACCCTTTCTACTCAGAAGTAAATCCTATCTAATTCAGTGTGGTTTACTCCTAGATAAGTGGGGAGTAGGATTGCAAGTCCTAATCGGGTTCTTCGGTTATTGTAGCAGCTGTAGACAAGCTTGTGAGGCTGCCAACTCATGCGTACATCCCCACCCCTGTATTTGAATACTGCACAGGGGAAAGTTCCATTTTCAGTGAAGTTGGGTGGGTTCACGATAACCCTAGAATAACCTTATTTGTCTGAAGGCACATTTGCTACACAGAGCTAGAAATCCGTTCTCTTGGTCAGCATTAGAGTAGTCCTCAGCAGTGGAGCGGTACGTGCCAGAAATACTCCTATGTGGTACCTTTTTTAAAAAAAAAAATCTGGCTACAAAGAGTTTCATGTACAACCATTCTGTGTTGCACCATTGGCTTCTTTGTGAAACTGCAGAAAAGAAAATAAATCAGTGGGATAGAGGGACATTGGTAACTTCACCAGTGCTATTTTTCTAGAAAAAGAGGTGCCAGAACTCACCGTGAACGCCTCCCTTGTTCTCTAATGCCAGTGGTGCCCACCTGAGAGGTGCCAGAACTGAGTTCCAGCGAGGTCCAACTGGGGGGGAAAGCCCAGGTAGATTTCATTTTACGCTGGTTTTATACACGTGATCACAGCTTTATGTGGATCACAGGAAAATTTAAAAATAAAAAGGGGCAGGGAAGCAGGGAAAACCCACAAGGATCTTGTGAGAAACCCTTGTGTGATGTTCCCAGAG